CCCAAGGACATAATAATAACTGAATGAATAATTAAAGACTACAAGTAATCAATTTTATTTTGAAGACTGTGGCACTTTGTATTAAAACTATGAGGCACAATTATTTCATTTATTGCCATTCACGACTATACTTTTACTGAATTCTAGAAGGATCTTGCGAATTAGCATATTGTAGACATCTTAAACACTCGTGAGAATAGAAAACACTATTAGTGGTCATATTTTTTTTGATTACAGCTTGATTCCACACAGTATTTTTGGTACAGGTATGGAATTTTCAGCATGTGATATCGGTAGCCCAAATTTTGCAGGCCGACCATAGATATCAGGTGTGCGTCGGCAGGGGATCGAACCCCGGACCATGTGCATGGTCGGCGAGATTCCTAACCGCTGTGCTACCGACGCAGAGAATAAAACAAATTGAACAAGAGAAATTTTATGCAATATGTAATGATAGAGTATATTAAAGTGGAGTCATTTAGCTGGTTTTACTGCCTTGCTCTGTCTGACTGAGCTTTCCAAAGTCATCGTAGTGTGTTCGTGCGTGTTAGATGTTTAAAGTTTAACTTTGCTGTCTAAATTGAAAACTTGAACATACGATTGTAGTTTCACATTATAGAATGATGTCATTCAATGAAAGACAGTTTTTATTCACTGTATTTGTCTCTCTGTCTTTTTAAAAAAAACTCTATTGATACCTTATTCTTGGTATTAATTGTTATAATGTCCAATTGTTTCTTTTTTATCAGGGTAGTACAGTTGAATTACCATGGGCTGTAGAAGGTGAAGGACGTACACAAGTCGATTGGTATTATTTAAATGATGCTAGTCGTGTACGCCAAGCAATAGCACTGGACTCATCCACAGGTGTCCAGTCAAGTCAAGATGCGAATCGACGTCGTAGTTCAAATGAGCTACCTTGGGGTACAAAATATGAATTAGTTGATGGTACATACGGGAATTTACGATTGATTAATTTATCCGTTACGGATTCTGGTCATTATATTGCTGAATCAGCACATTTAGGTCGGTCATTACGAATTAAGTATACTATACGTGTTAGAGGTAGGTCTCTGTCTTTTTGTTTTGTTTTGTTTTGTTTGGAGTAAAGTGTTATTTGATGGTTTTCTTTTTTTTTTGGTAATTTGTTTTTGTCTCTTTTTTCGTTTTTCTAGACTGAATTAGTCGGCTTTCTTTTTTGTTTTTTGCTTCTGAGGTGTGAACTCTTTGCTCTAAAGTGTGGCATGGATATTTTACAGTGGTGGATCTCGTGACAAACTGTTTGTCTGTCTGGTTTCAACATAGAACTTTGCACCGATGTGCAGCAGTTCGAGTCGCCACACTCACCATGTACCACACAAAGCCGGAGAAGAAAGTAAACAGAAACGCAAAATAGAGACAGCAAACAGAGGTGTGAGACAAAGGAATAGTAATAACGAAGAACAGAACAGTTTCATTGGAAATCATAACTCACAAGGAGTGGATGCATCTGCGTCAGCCACTGAGAACGATGAGTTTGGGCCATGTCACCAATTGTTTCCAACCATTGGTTTTTACTGTCCCGAGGACCCCAACCAGGAAGTCCACACCTTCCTACGTGGCTTAGACTAACTGTTGTAGATTTCATTGACTGGTGCCATGTTTTGGTTTGATCGCCACTGGCTCTTTTCCAACCTGATCCATCCTATGTCAGTCAGCTAACATTGACCGTCGTCGAGGAAGGCGATGACTAGGCATGCGTAACACATGTCCTAACCATCTCAGTCGATGTAATTTCACAGCCTCGTCTATTGATTTCCCCTCCCATTTATCTAGCACTCGACGCCTAACCTCAATATTGCTCACCTTATTATACCATTTCACACGGGAGATAGAACACAGGCACCTATGATCAAAGACAGCTAATCTTTTCATGTCTTCCGCTCTCAATGGCCAGGTCTCACAGCCATAAAGGAGGACGGAGCGGACTGCTGAGCAGTACACACGTCCTTTGGTCGATAGCCAGCCGGATATCACGTCTACGCCAGAGACGGCGTAAACTGGCATATGTGAAACTAGCCTTCTGTATCCGTGCTGAGATTTCGTCAGCTAGGAGTCAATGTAGTCAAGTCAGTTTTGTAGCACCATCTTACATTTGGTGGGAGCTAATCGCATGCCGAACATCCTCAGATTGCACCTCAAGGTGTTCAGAAGACTCTGCTCTCTTTTGTCAGCGTCTTCATCTAGGAGACAGGACTATATTATCTGGAAATTTTAAGTGGACGAGATTATTCGCTGGTGGTGACAAGTCAATCCCTGAGTTTCTGAAGTGAGTTAGGGTTAATTCCATTAGTACATCTATGATGAAATCGAATAGAAATGGGGATAGTAGGCATCCCTGTATCTCCAAATTGTTGTTATTAGATGGTTGGAGGTAATCGACACGAAGTGTTGAACGTAGGTCACATGCTTGTTGACAATCATCAGTCAGCAAGGTGTATCTGCAGTCACCAATGAACTCATATCCCTCCTGAGATTCGGACGCGTTTGACCCAGTGATGCAATCAGAGATATTAACGCTGAGCTGTTCGCGTTTGCTATTGACCTTCGGTAAGACTGTGTTGGATACCTTGGCCGGACACTAGGTACTAACTAGTGTCACTCGTCTAGTCCCTGGTGTTGGTTGATGCAGACTAAATTCTATCAGTTAAGTTTTCTGAATGGCCACCATACTAAGTAGCTGACAAGTACCAGGAAGTATGAAATTCAGGTCAAACAGGGCATCCTGCTGATTGCCTCCATTCGTCCAATAATAACAATCCAGAGGTCACCTTGATGGTGAACCTGATTCAAGAAGGTGTTCGCAAATTGAAGACTTTGTCATAACTATACTCATCTTTCATCAACCAAACCGGGTAGTGTTCATCTACGCGTTTCTAGAGAACACTCTGACAACATCCAATGTAAGCAGTTCCACAGGACCATCCTGTAGTCATCATTAATGATTTGGTACGAAGATGGAATTTTCCGAGTGAAACATAGGGCTTCAAACTTGAGCTTTGAAATGCCATTAACGGCGGTATTTTCAAAGGAGTTGAGTTGCTAGCCTCACGCCCAACCTTTCCTCTTTACTGGGTCTACCACTGGCTAAATGAGATTTAGGAGGGCGTCGGTTGGGAATCGAACCCGGACCACTTTCATGGCTACCGAGCATCATAACACTAACCAACCGTGACCCTATTAAAAATGGTTGAAGGCAAGACGACAGGAAGCAGAGTGGATTTAGGTTTCGCGCTTACGGGTGGCACCATTCAAAAAGTCGTATCTTCAACTTCTACAGAAGTGATGTAACACATCGGAGATTTGAACCCATGTTCAGTAGTATCATATTACCATAACGGTAAGTGATACCATACGACGGTACAGAATATTTTAACAGTTTATAAAAGAACGGCCAATCATTAGGAAGTTGTACTCCGTTTATCTGTTGTGTCCTCTTTTCTGAACACTAATCAGTGTAAGGTATATGTCCAGTCTTAATAAACATTATATTGTGTGTCTGTGCGGAATTTAAGTGAGCACTACTCAGCTCTAAAGTCCTATCTACTCAGCCATCACTAAACTGTTCTAAAGTAAAACGTTAATCCTAATTAGCAGATAATAAATGATAATGCCGAATGTCTCTCTAATTTATCATATTTGTTTTTAGCACCTTTGGGTGTCAAGATAACACCAAGTCGTAGAACTGTTGATTGGGGTAGTCGAGTTGAATTAACCTGTGAGGTAACTGGACATCCACGTCAATTAGTCTACTGGCTGCACAATTCACGTCTAGTACCAAGACGTCATCATGTGCGTCATATACCAGCAGCATCAATGAATTCAGGTTATTCTGGTATGGATAATAATAATAATAATGGTCGATCGAATTCAATTGCTGAACGATTGATTATCGAAGCATTCAGTCTTGATGATATTGGTGTATATCAGTGTATTGCTGAAAATGGTCATCCAGCGGATCGATTAAGTCTAAGCATGAATACACATCAATCGTCGTCCTCGGATTCAATGTTCTCATCATATCACAGCAGCAGCGCATCGCCTACATCAAATTCATCATCATTTCCATATTCTTCTTCGTCTTTGTCTGGTTCACCATTAATGCCGACAACAACAACAACGTCAACACTTAGTACACAAAAGGCGAATGCTAATCACCTCTCTGAAAATGAGTTAACAGGTCAGGCTAATTCATTTTCAAGCCTTGAAAGTGTTGGCGACCTGGTCGATAATGCTCAAGCTACTGCGCTTCTAATGATGGGTAAAATGCGTCCATCGTTAACATGGCAAAATCCAGCTGTTGAATTGGGATCATTCGCTGCACAAGTACTCTTATCTCTACATATGGGTTCAACAGACGCATTGTTAGAGTGTCGATTTGCTGCTAATCCTCCACCGAATATTGTATGGTATCGAGATGACCAACCGATATCTTTAGACGATTCTGGTGTTCTCTCTGCTCAAGTTATGTCTGATGAGGGCACGGCTTGCACGACAATCACTCGTCTCACAATTAATATTCGTAAGGTAAGTTATGCAGAGTTGATTGACGTTTTTTAGTAAAATTTCCAGTCTTTAGTAAGTCGAACGTTCCAATCTCATGTTAGATATCATTGTCAGTGCAGCTGTATGAATTTGAGCAGCCTCTTTGTGTTGTTGAGGTATTTTTTTTCTTAATTTAATCTTCACCAAACAACTGAATAACAAATGATCAGAGTTTTCGAATATGTATTCACTTGGAGTCACAGTTTCACCAGGAAAACCAAAGTATTCGGATTACAGTATGTAAACTGTTTGATACCGAAAATAGTCGATGGATGGTTGATAATCAAAATGATGGAGGTGAAGGTAAGGTGATGGTCAAGGAAGCTTTATGAGCTTGTGGAATTGTAGCTGTCCACACCATGGAAGCTGATTTCTTCGTAGGGCACCTGAAATGGAAGGAGCATTGTTATCACGTGACCAAAGATTCCAGGTAGAAACTGCTTGAAACTGGTCACACTCGTTCCGATTGAAGTGGTGGCAAGTCAGGGTGTACAATTTTCGCGATCAACCTTTTCTAACCCATCTCTCAAAAGTAGAAATGTAGCATAGCTGGCTTCCTGCTCATCTGAGGGAAACATTACTGGTACTACCTTCCTATTCTCCAGCAGTACGACTTCGCCTACAGATACATGATGTTAACGACTTACATTACGATGATGGACTTCTTTTAGTCTAATCGCTATCATTGAAACGACCTTTTTGGTATGATAGAACCTACAGGGACATTAGTTCCAGCCAGGGTAGCTCATTCGGTGATTCCTATGTGCACAAACCCAATCACCACGTTTAAGGTGGCAACTGTTAGTCGGGACCACAAATGGTAATCAAAAAAGTAAGCGATATAACTTGATGTGATGTACTACTGATTGATTTATGCAAATAGTTAGATATCACTGACATCAACTAGTAGTGTAACGACAGAAGACAAGGGCCAGACAGCAGATTGTTTATTGAGAAAATCAACAGATATTTATCGATTTTTATATACATCATTATTCGTTATTTTTATCAGAGAAGCAACGTCTTCTGATTGGTTGTTTTCTTGGTGTAGGTTATTCTGTCATCTCATTGTGGCCGTTTCCTTGAAGGTCAGACCATATCTCTGAGAATCGTATCCGCCCACGCTAAGTCTTCTGTGATTGGTTGTTGAGTTGCTTAGGGTTAAGCTTTGTTATTGTTTTATCTTGTGATGCCGATTCAGGACGTAAACATTGACGTAAATTCCTATCTACCAAATTTGACTAGCAGACAGCTCTCACCACAGTAGTAGTGATTCCTAACCAGCCACACTGAAGTGATTTAATCACCGAAAGAGGGTTTTAACTCGTTTTTCCCTGGTCTCATCATCTGTGCACTAGAGAGTTAGACTGAATTCACAGGGGGAATGAATCACTTAAAATCACTGGAGTTCATATGTACACTCAATTGTTTTTGTTTCCACACCTTTTACACACATCGTCTTATTGTTTTTTATCTCTTCTAGTTACAAAATTTAGATGATATGTGGACATTTGGTGGAGAATATCGTGCAGTAGCTGAAAATGCATACGGTCAAGCAGATTGTCGTACTTACGTGTTAATGGATACACCACTTCGATTAAGACCAATCGATATTGGTAAACCGGCTATAGCTGGTCGAGCGTATACTCTGAAATGTTATTTCATTGGTAGTGGAATACCAACGGTAAGTTGTATTATAAAAAAAATTATGTGTAATGAGTTAATGAATTGTTTTTGTGGATTTATAATAATAATAAGGTTCTTTAGAGCTGTCTTTAGCTGGCTCCACGATTGTTCATAGGCTTTCACCTCCTCCTCACACCTTTTCTTTCATGTCACCCTTGGGTGCCGCCCAACTCATCATTCCCCATTCACCTTCCGCTCGAGGGTCTGCCTGCTGTGTGGTGTTCCTCAACAGTCTGTCTCCCCAGCCCTATTCAGGTAGATAGGTAATTACCTGGGGTTCTAGAGGGAAGTCGTGACCAGTAGGATGCAGCAGGTCGGGTGTGAGGACAAATACTCGACACCGATGACATTGGCTAGCGGTCGCGCTATGTCGTGAATTAGCGGAAGTTAGAATTCATGGACTGGCTGGCCATTGGATCGGGCCCCAGTGGCTCAATGGTCTACGAGCTCTCTAGTCTTGTAATCACAAAGTCTTGGGTTCGAGCCCTGTAGGTGGGTGCGTACTGATGAAGAGTCTCAAACTAGGCTGATGAAACAGGTGGGTGTCCAGTACTCCCAGCTGGCTTCCCAGTGGTTCTCTAACCGATGTTAGCTCATGATGCAATCCTGTAATCAATCAAACTAGAATCCCTACAAACCGATACTTGCATTTTTTTCGGCAACTTTGTTGATTAGTAGGTACTTGGTTCGCTGCTTGGCATAGTTCCTTGTTACTAATTCTTTCTGGCCAGTCCTCTGATCTTCATTATGGAGCGAAGGAGGAGGCAGTTATTGATAAAAGTTTGCACCAGCCTGTTGGAAATGCTTATAGTGATGCACCAAGTCTCTCTGAACCATAATCAAAAATAATATGTTTGATTTGATTTCTGAGTGGAACTTACAGCTTTAAAAGTGCATCCCTATTGTGCTCTTAGTCCCTGCTATCACTTCCATCTGGCTTCACTACTGGTTTCATTTCCTCTTCACATGATTTCCTCTATGGATGTGACTTTCGGAACCACGCACATCTTGTCGCTTCCCATTCGTGTTCGTTTGGAGGGCCTGTCGTGTAGTTTCGCTTGCTGTTTTCTAATCTGTCTCCATTTCCTTGGTTGGTTGCTGATTCGTTTCTTGACAGAATTCCTTGTTACTTGCTTAACCTTTCTGACTGACTACTTGACCTTTAGTATTGAAGAAAGCCAGCTATTGGAGATAATTTAAAATGCTTTTATAACTTTTATACTTTAGCTTATATAGTACTTGATTGATTGCAGATTGGGTGAGGCAGTAGTTCGATGGTTGGTTCTCCAGTTGATTTTGTTGCCTACGGATTCCATGCATCTTGGAGTCAGTCAGCCAGTCAGTCGAATCACCCTAAAATGTAACTAATATCTTAATACCAATAGCTTTTTCATTAGTGAATAGTCTCCATATGGATTTCTGGAATTTCGCGATGTGAATTTATGAGCAGTGGGGTTTATCAAGTACGTTATGAACAAAGGCAGATATTTATCATAGATATCCTGTGATCGTTGCGCTGTATCGCCAGTGTAACGACAGAACACAAGAGCCAGGCAACAGATCGTTTATTGAGAAAATCAACAGATATTTATAGATTTTTATGTACATTATTATTCGTTATTATTAGCAGAGAAGCGACGTCTTCTGATTGGTTGTTTTCCTGCTGAAGGTTATTCTGTCATCTCTTTGTGGCCATATCTTTAAAGGTTAGACCATATCTCTGCGAATCGTATCCGCCCACGCAAAGTCTTCTGTGATTGGTTGTTGCGTTAGTCTTTGTTCTTGCTATTTTTTTTCTCATTACCAAGATATGGGACGTAAATATTGACGTACATTGCTCACCACACTGGCATGTATATATGGACTATGCTTCTATTGTATCCTGACCAAGTATCTGAAAAGCACTCATTGTATAATCTGATTGTCACGGATTCCATTTTGGATGAGTTGTGATTCTGCACTGCTTGAATATTGTTATTTAAATAAAATTTTTAACTGATATTTTAAAAATTTTAAAAAATTTCCGTTTTGTCTTTTCTTCTTTCCACTTTCCACAACTATGTGTGAATAGCTTCAATGGCATCGTATAAAAAATGGTCGTGATGTTCGTCGTATACCTGTCGACCATCGACATCAGCTGCTGGAGAATGCTCGTGTACTACGGATAACAGAAGTTAACCAAGAAGAAGATGAAGCGAATTATCGATGTACTGCTACCCTGGGAGATATGATAGCCAATATGACTGTATCACTAAAAGTATCTCGTAAGTTGTTGAGTGAATGAATCACTGACTGACTACTGACTTATTGGTTATGATGAATTCGATCTAATGTTATGCTCTGATGTTATGCATAATACAAAATATCCTGGAAGCACTTGAAGTTAGACAACTACATTGCTTATAGTCTCATACACTATTATTATTATTATTATATCCTTAGGTTCCAAGTGGAACATGGGTCTTCAACAGCACACCGCAATGTCTTCCTGTTCACTGTTGTTCCCTATTTTACCTGACTTCACGATTATCCATGAGTTTTCATTCCTGCCTCATACGGTTTCCTCCATGTGTTACCCTCGGATACCCAGTTCGTCGTTCCCCAATTAGGATTTCACTTGATGACTTGGTGTCTTCAGCGTCTGTGTGTGAGTAATAGGTTCTTGATTGTTTCATTGCTAGAGTACCTTGTTACCTATCCTTTCTGATTCTTTCATCTAATCCCCAATATGGAGCGAAAGGGATAGCTGTTAACGAAAGTCTACAGTTTGTTAGAAATGCTTTAGATGACGCGTGTGTTGCAAGTCCTGTGAACTTTGTAGAGCAGCATAGACTCGGCATTAGGGATGGAAACCTGAATCTTGTTCTGTGTGCTGAGTGAAGCAGATTTCTACACTTATTACATAAAATAATGAAGTTCTCTCTTGTTTTTCTGATTCTGTCTGTGACACCACCATCTATGCCGCTCGCCTGTAGTTGAAACGATGCTGCCTTAGATAAGGGAAATAAGTGACCTTGTAACGACAGAAGACAAGGGCCAGGCCATAGATCGTTTATTGAGAAAATCAAGAGGTATTTATAGGTTTTTATGTACATCATGATTCGTTATTGTTAATAGAGAAACAACGTCTCCTGATTGGTTGTTTTCTCGCTGAAAGTTATTCTGTCATCTCGTTGTGACCGTTTCTTTGAAGGTCACACAATATATCTGCGAATCGTATTTGCACACACTAAGTCTTCTGTGATTGGTTGTTGAGTTCCTCAAGGTTAAGTTTTGTTATTGTTTCATCTCGGGATGTAAACATTGACGCAAATTGTTGTCTACAATTTTGACTAGCATATAGCTCTCACCACAACTTCATTGAAATTCCTCCTGTTGATAGTGATTGGTGCTAGTTGTTACTGCTGTTGGTGCTGGTTACTTATCTTCATCACCGTCTCTCTAATATTCACTTGAAGTCCTGTCTTTGCTGTCTGCCTCTTCAGCCAGCTTGTTGGTTTTCGCCTCATACATAGTCCAGTCTAACAAGCGATCAATTAGATGGGTTTTGCACAGCCGCCTACCTAATCTGTAACTTCCTCATTGAATAACTCAAGTCTGAATCGAGTAGGAGAATTGCAGTTTCTTTAAAGTTTTAAACACTCCTTGTCAATGAGTTTCCGCTAACGCGAAATGTAGGCGGCTTATTTGTGGCGATTGCTACTGGTAAGATTTATCAGTAGTATATACATATAAAGAAATGTTCATCGACATAAATAACATCAAATAGCAAGGAGATAGATTTGATATCAGAGAAAGCAAATGATACAGCGTTGTGGAGATACATGGGAGACGTGAAGGGAACACAAAGAAACACACACAATATGAAAGAAGGTGAGAAGTAGCACAACACGAAAGATCTGTGCAAATGGTGATTTGAAGATAAGGTGTATACAATTTGGCCAAATATAGGCATACCAATTACCATATAAACATTCCTTTACCAAGCCATTCCTCTTCTGCCGTTTCATCCTGACATTTGCAATCAAAGTATGGTGCACTATACAGCACACAGAAGTATTCTTGTCTTTGAATACCTAATCAATTGATTTTGGTTAGTAAGCGTAAAGTACTGGGGAACTCCATTGGTGTTATCATTCTATAATCTCTTCACAAATGTAATCCTTTCTTTAGTAGTACTAATTGTCTTTGATGTTGACGCCAGATGACGCAAGTTCAACACTTCATGGAAATATTCGTTTGACTGACTGACTGACTTGATTGAGTTTCAAGATAGAACTTAGCACAGAAGGTACTGAAGTCCAAGCTGCTATACTCCATGTAGCCCACAAAGGTAGACAAAAGAGAGAGAGACTAGGAGATTTACAGGGACCCTAAGAAATGGAAATGTGAGGAAGAAAGACTACTGACATGAAGAACGTGAGGCTTTAATGCATCTGCGCCATTGAGAACGATTTTGAGCCCTACTACCATCAGTCTTCACCCTATGATACTCAGAATCTTGAGTCTCCCAAATAGGTAATCTTCACCTCACCACGTGGTTGGTTCAAATCAACTGTCAAAGATTATATAAACTGATGTTAATTTAACCACCCCTAATTCTTCTCCAACCCAATATATGTCAGGTAAATTTGATTTTCGAGGAAGGCAGTAACTCGGCGTCCGCACAACACGCGTGCCCCAGTCAACTCAGTCATCGATGTAACTTTACAACCTCTTCGATTTGACGCCTTTCCCTTACCTACCACTCTACCTCTGTCTAACCCTAATATTACTCACTATATTTACCACTTAACACGGGAGATAGAAGGCTCACATCTGTGATCAAAGACAACTAGCCTTTTCGTATCTTCTATTTTCAATGACCGTGTTTCACAGTGATAAAGGATGACAGAGCGAACTTCTGAGCAGTACATATGTCTCTTGGTGGATTCCAGGATATCACGTCTACTCCCCCGCAGGAATAATGAGGTAAATTGACAAAGGCGTCACAATAGCCTCTTCTGTCCGTACTGAAATTTCGGCAGGAATCAGTCCATTAAGGCTGATGCAACTTTCAAAATATTCGTACAGTCATTGCTGTTTCATTGAATAGAATCTTTCAAAATTGAAAGAGTCAATCATCAAAATAAATATGATGTACGCGTGCATGCGTTTATGGAATTAATTTTTATGGTCCCTGTGTCCTGTGTAGCTACTTGTTTTTCTCTTGAAGTAGATGAAATAGAGATGGAGTTACTTTTGTGGAATTACTAAGTTTAAAGAAAGCCTGTTTAAGTTTAGTGATACAGTAACTTGTTTAGGGGTATTCAATTTTGTAAATTTTAGTTTGTACCTAGAGAACCTTATTGCTAGCCGAGGGGGCCTCGCAAAAGGGATACAATAGATCTGAGGCATTAGTCGACCAATGGTAGACATTTTACTGCAGTTACCAAGTGTTTCGCTCTCAGTACCACTTCAATCCGAAGTTTTGTCATCTTTTTCCCATCCCTTTACGTCCCGAGGGGGGGCATAGAACATCAAGCCTGATGTTTCAGTAACCATAATGTTTTGTGACGGGATTGGGTTGCTAGTCTGACGCCCCAACCTCTTCTCACTTCTGGATTTACTATAGCGTAATAGACTAGGCAATGCCTAGGAGTGCGTTGACCTGGAGTCGAACCTGTACCACTTGTGTTACTGTCAAACATTCAACCGCATTGATCCACACCGGTACCAGAGTCCATCATAGTGTAGATCATGGACTGTTGTGAGTTATAGAACCGTTGTGAACCAACAGCGAATACTTGAAAGGCCGTTGCTTCCTAATTTGGGACTCTTCAGCAACATGCACTCACCGGGTTTCGAACCTAGGACTTTCCAGCTACAAGGCAAGTTCGTAGACCATTCAACCATTGGGACCTGATTCAATCACCTGTAAATTACATCCTCTCCTAGTACTGCTATCATTCTCCTGAATGATATCTTTAGCATTGAATGTGTCATTCTATTGAGCTTACTGCTACTTCTATGTTAGGAATGACATCCTCTGGTTTTAACTTATTAACTGTTACGTTGAAATTTAGTCCTTTTTCAAGTACTTTTATCTCACTAGAGCTTAGTTTCCTTGATGAGAGGTTGATCACCCACTTTGTTCTGTCGATAGAGGATGAAGCGTTGACATCAATTTCATTTTTTGTGTTCTTTTCTTCAATTAGTTTGTTGAATTTTTTGATTTGTGTGATTTTTGATTTTCCTAATGCTGATTCTCTTGCTTTTTTGGATACTTCAACAACAATTATAAAATCTTTGTCATTGACCATATGTTTGAGTTTGTATTTGAGTTTTTCAATTTCATTTCGTATAATATTTAGTTTCACAGTAACTCGATGTAATTCTTCTCTTAGACATAATCTACTCACATTTTCGGCAGCTGATGTTATTTTGTTTGAAGTAATTGGAGTACGTAGACGTAGATATTTTGGAATTATATGATTTTTTAGACATCGACTGTTAAAAATCCGATGATTTGTGAATGTTGCTTCAGTTTGACAAAGTCGTGTGAGTTTGTTGATAAGCTTCCTTCCTTCTTATATCAGTGATGTCATTCTATCCAACTGAGCTCATTTATTCATTGAGATATTGCAAGTTGTGACCACCGAGTCCAGATATTAACTGTCACTTAATCTTTTACATATTATCCTTCTTTTTATTTAGATGCACCTCGTCTGTTTGAATTGCCACAAACACGGCAGGTGAAAGATGGACGTGATATGTTATCGTATAGTTGTGCTTTACAGAATAGAGCTGATAAACCATGGTATGCATGGTGGGAATTTCAACGTGAAGGAACAAATGCAATTGTACCGTTACCACCGTTTAAAAAAAGCGCATATGATGGTTTTTCAGTTTCTGTAAGTTAAACATGCTCTAATTATTTTACTCTCACAAGAATTCATTTTATTTTATCACAGTGTGAGGGGGGAGGGCTGGTTCTAGACAATTTTTTAAAGTTTTTATTCCTTTATGTTACCAATGGAACATAGGGTGCCTTCAAGCTAGAGGCTTGAAGTTACGGTAGCAGCGGCGTTTATTTTTACGGGATGGGGTTGCTAGTCTCATGCCCTCTTTACCAGTTTTTTTACTGGTTTAACGAAACCCGAACCACACGCGTGGTTGGTTGGTGAGCATTCTATCGCTGTGCCACCGGCGCTTATCACAGCGCATATCTTTTAACTTTTGTTTTCGTGAGTGTAACGATGATGATTGTTATTAGGATAAAGTTAAACTTTCAGCACCACCAACTACCAATCAGCGAACAACCTCGAACGCACCAATCACGTTAAGGAGGCATTTCTGTGTTTGGAATACATATATTTATGAAAAAATACATAAAAACTGTACAAAAGTGTTACAGAGGATACCGTTCTCCCACATTTGATAAAAATAGCTCTCAGTTTTAGGTTGGAGTACCTACAGAATATAATTCCATTGTAGATAAAATTTATTATGTTATGCAGTAATATTTACTCGGCAATAAACTGTACTCGAAACGTCATCAGTAAATATCTATTTATTTGTTTATTTTGATTTACAGCTTGATTCCACACCGTATTTTCAGTACAAGTATGGTATTTTCAGCATGGATATCGGTAGCCCAAATTCAGGCCGACCATAGATATCGGGTGTGCGCCGGCAGGGGATCGAACCCCGGACCATGTGCATGGTCGGCGAGAGTCCTAACCACTGTGCCACCGACGTACAACAGTGTGAGACTTTATCAGAATAAATTTTACCCACAATAGAATTATACTGTACCATAGTACACAAATTCGATTCTTATATCAACAAAGCAACATAACCATATTCTCTGCAAGTAATTATTCAGGTCTTCTAACTCTAACAGTGACCGAAATCTTTCCTGAACCTCTCCCTAATGTGAAAATATGCCTAAACTAACCTTAATCTAACTTGAACTAGCCCTAATGTCGCCTTTATTGGTTTAACGTAACCCTAACTTGTCCTTGGCCTAAACCGTAACTTAATCTTTCCTAAACCTAAGCCGAAACTTTCCAGATATTCCATTTAATAACCTGATACTTCGATGAGCATATTTTATTGATGATCACAACGTTACTTGACAGGTTTCACTAACTTGTTCAGTGAGCGTTTCAAGGTCATCAGTGCGGTCACACTCCACTGGAATTCAGTGGTGCCTAAAGTTTAACTTGGCCATTATTATTATTATTCTCTTGGGTTCCGAGTGGAATATAGAGCTCCATTTAATCCTATTATATGCAGTCATCTTTGGATGGCTCCACAGTTGCCCAAACGCGTTCACATCTCCTTCTTGGACGACTTCCTGCATGTCATCCTAAGACCTACTTCCAACGCATCGTTTCCCATTCGGGTTCCCCTTGCGGAGTGCCTGTATGGTGCGCGTTGTTATTCAACGGTCTTCTCAGTGTGTGTCTAATTCATCTCCATTTCCTCCTGGGTATTTATTTGTTTGGTTCCCAGTGTTCCCTGTTGCTTATCCCTTCCAAACAACCATCTGACCTTCAGTATGGAGTGATAGCAGTAGCTGACGAAAGTTTCCTGTAGCCTGTTGTAAATGCTTTTTGTGATGCGCGCTTCAGCAAGTCTGTGAACCATATTTGGCGTACTGACTGAGTTGACATCAGTGTTGTAAATCCGAATGTTGTTCCTTTGCTTGAGTGCAGTAGCTTTCCAAACTGATTTCAGAGTAAGAGAGGTCCGTCTCGCTTTTCCGATCCTAGTTGGCCTTGACATCCTCATCCATAGTGTTGCGGGTAGTTGAAACGATGCTCTTCAAATAAATGAAAGAAGTGACAGTGATTGGATGTAATAAATTCAGCATTTCTATAGTCTTTAGTCTATGGTTTGTTTGTTTGTTTGTGTATGATATTTCTCAGATTTTCAAGAGTTGCTTTGTAAGGACACAGCGGTTGCATGCTCGCCGACCACGCCACATATGGTCTGGGATTCTATCCCCGGCTACCGATGCACTCCTTTACACCTCACTATACCAGTAGCAAGACTGGTAAAGAGGGGAGGTTGGGCATAAGGCTAGCAATCCCATCCCATAAAATGAAAATAAATAAAAATAAGACACCATTGCTACCGAAACTTCACAGCTCTAGCTTGAAGCCCTATGTTCCACTGGGAACGTAAAGGAATAAAAAAATTTTAAAAAATCACAATTTTAAATTTTTTGTATGTACATATTTATAGAAGGAGGTAAATTGTGCATCAAAACGCTAAAATCTTTTTCTGTATAATTATTATTGCTGTTTGAAATAAAGTGATTATTATTATTATAAATGACCACATTATTGCTATATATATATATATATATATATATATATATATATTGGTGGACCATCAGGCCACTGGGACCCGATCAAATGGTTAGTCCATGAACTCTAACTTCTGCCAATTCATGACACATAGCGCGACCACTTCGCAATGTCTTCTTTGATGAGTTACTGCCTCACCTTCAACCTGCTGTACCCTACTGGCCACCACTTCCCACTAGAACTCCAGGTAACTGCCTGAATAGGGCAGCTAGTCACTAGTGAGCATCAGATTAATTTTGAAGTATTGGTTTCAAACAAAAGAAATACCCTACATCGAAGAAGACATTGGCTAGTGGTCGCGCTATGTCATGAATTGGAAGAAGTTAGAATTCATGGACTGACTATTGGATCGGGTCCCAGTGGCTTAGTGGTCTAAGAGCTCGCTAGCCTTGTATCCAGAAGGTCGTGGATTCGAACTCTGGCTGGGCTTGCGTACTGATGAAGGGTCCCTAATGGTTCGCCAACTGATGTCCTCCAATATATATATATATATATAGTAGATGGTTGGAAGCAATCAGTAGGAAGTCCTGGATCCAGGTCTCCTACTTGTTAGCAGTCATCAGCAAAGTGTATCCGCAACCTGGAATATGCAGTGTCTGATGTAGTTTATGCCTATCATGTATAACCCCAATATACAATTGATATAGCGTAAGTCCTCCTTTCTATGTTAAGACATATAAACTCATTTAAGTGAAGATGAAAGTAGACACAAGCAGTGCATTGTAAAAACTTGAGTATAAAGAGATATCCAAAGTCACAGAGTTATCTGACTAGCAAGAAGAGACGTGTCGACAAAAAATGAAATAAACTTTACAAAGAATTCTGGTTTTCTTTCCTCTATACACCACAATGGGGAATAACATTTCATTCTGATTAGCCAACTGTCCGTTGAATTGTGGCTCACCGTAGAAAGTACACACCTCCTCTGGGTAGTATCATCAAACTTTATACTACAAATAAGCACGGCTCATAGCCTAGTGATACATTAAAAATCTGTTCCAGAAGGAAACTGAATTCAATGAAGTTACGCACCACTGAAGGTATTTTCTCCAACTGAGTTGAGTAATAAGTTTTCAAGAGTTTGGTTTGTAAGGATTAAATTTGTTTTTACGAGTTTGACCACGCACGGATTGATATCAGTTAGAGAACCATTAAAAACCAGCCACAGGGAGTACTGGACAGCTGTTTTGTCAACCTAGTTTGGGAATCATCGGGAGTACGCACCCACCTCCAGATTTCGAACACATGGCCTTCCGGTTACAAGGCAAGCTATCTTGTATATCAGTCAGCCACTGGGATCTGACTCCTCAATGACCAGCTCATGAATTCTAACTTCTACCAATTGGTGATTTAACGCGACCACCAACTAATGTCATCGGTGGGGAAATCCATCCTCACACTTGACTGGTTAGACCTCACTGGTCATGACTTCTCACTAGAACTCCAGGAAGTTAGAGGAGTCGGGTCCTAGTGGCTGGCTAGTATAAGAGTTAACTTGCCTTGTAACCGGAAGGTCCTGGGTTCCAATCCCTGTGGTGGGTGAGTACTGCCGATGATTCGCAAACTAGGATGAAACAGCTGTCCAGTACTCCCTGTGGTCAAACTCATAGAAACAAAAAAAATTTCTCAGATTTGTCATTTCTTAGTTTCTATGTGTCAATCAAGAAATTAGTTGACCTTTTTTTTCACTCCATATCTCTAGGTCTCCACTTAGTCGAACACCTATTAGGGTATTACAGTAGAATATCCCATCAGTTTTCACCTCTTGTCGACAGTTATCCCATTCAGCACAACCGAAATATTTTCCCGTCTAATTCCATATTAGTTTTTTTATTAGGTATATCACACAGTGAAACAGTACTATTTACTGGATGACGTTTCGAACAAAATTTATTGTTCATAATCATATCAATTGATCATATCACAAAAAAAACTAATATGGAATTACTTACTACCACAGTGCCCAAGTTTTACACATATATTTCCCGTTTAAAGTTGAGCCTAGTGTGGTGCACTGTATTCTATCCCAATATGTGAATCTGAAAACTGGGAAGGATAGATTTTACAAAGGCGTCAGCTGTTTGATTACTATTTCCTTCGTAACACTCTATGTCTTCAGTCTGGTCACCAATTAAGCAGTATGCAGATTAGTGATGGATTGCTTAAACCAGGCAGGAGGAGAGTTAGTCGACGACAGAAGACAAGAGTCAGTCAACAGATCGTTTATTGAGAAAATCAAGAGATATATGTATAGATTTTTATGTGCATTCTGTACTGCTCGTGACCGTTTCTCAGAAAGTTAAGCCATATATCTGCGAATCGTATTTGCACACGCTAAGTCTTCTGTGATTGGTTGTTGAGTTCCTCAAGGTTAAGCTATGTTCTTGCGCTTTTTTCTCATGACCCTGATTTGGGACGTAAAACATTGACGTAAATTGTCTACAATTTTCGGCTTGCAGACAGCTGTCACCACGACATATATATGCTTGGTATCCTACCTATCACCATAGTGTCCAAGTTTTACATATCTGTTTATGTTGGGTGTCTGGTTTAGGCTGAATTCATTCTACTTTGTTCTAGACTATAGATAATCTTGTCATTCATATTTATGTCGTGGGCGTTGTTCATGTTTAGTCTGGTATATAATAAACATCATACATACAGTGTTGTTGAACTGTAATCATTGTTTTTTTATATACCTGAATTATTCTCTTTCAATTCTGCTTATACTTTAGTATGTTGTCTCAGAAAATGAAGCTACACCATGGCGTCTTCCAGATAGTTTACGTGAACGTGTACCATCATTTGTGCATACTGAACCGAATTCAGCTGTCCACGTGAGTGTCAATGAACTGCGCAAAGATCAACATCATGGGAATTTAACATGTGTGGTTGTCAATGAAGTTGGCATTGATAGACAATCAATACGTGTAACTTTTATACGTGAGTCTTCATTATATTTACATTAGTCATTACAATTTATTATTATTATTGTTTCCTTTAGTTCCTAGAGGAACATAGGGCTTCAGTCGCACGTCCCCATTGCTTTTGGTTCTCTGCCAATCTGTTCACGTGGCTACACGTCTGTCCACATGTTTTCATCTCCTCTTTACATGACCTCCTCCATGTCACCCTCGCACTGATGACCAACTCGCCGCTTTTCTTTCGGGTTCTGCTCGAGCGATGGCTTGGCTTGTGATGTCACTTCATGGTTTGTTTTCTCAAAGTATGACCAATCCACTTCCATTTCTTCCTGCATATTTGTTGCACAATTGGTTCCTGCTGGGTTGGTTCGCTCCCACAGATCCCTCCCTGCTGCTGATCTTTTCTGGTCGGCCATGTGATCTTGAGTAGTGTTGAGCGAAGACAGCTGTTGATGAAGGTCTGTAGTTTGTTCGAAGCGCTTTTCGTGACGCACCGAGTCTCTAATTCATAAAGTAGCATTGACTTCACATTACAGTTTAAAATCCGGATCTCATTTTTGATGCTGAGTGCTGTTGACTTCCACACAGACTTGAGAGAACTGAAACCTTGCCTTGATTTCCCAATCTTTGCTTTGATATCCTTGTTAGTTCCACCTGTAGTTGAAACGATGCTTCCCAGGTTGGTAGGTAAATGAGGTTGCTTCTTTCAGACTTCTCCCATTTATGCTGATTGTTGTCTGTTGTTGTTGCTGCTGTTGGTGTTGGCCAGGAATCTTCATCAACGACCTCTGTTTTCTCTATGTTCACCTGAAGTCATATATTCTCTGGATGCTTCCTCTGCCAACTTGTTGCTTTTCACTTTCATATCTTCCAGTTTGTGGGAAGTCAGACATATATCATCGGCAAAATCCAGATCCTCCAAGTTTTTTGTGTGATTCCATTTTATGCCTGTTTCCTTGCTATCCGCCGCTGTCTGTCGCATTATCCAGTCTACTGCAATCAGGAAATCAATCATTGGAGATAGTAGACAGCCAGCCTTGTCTTACTCCCGTCTTCACTTTTTCGAAGGATTCCGTGAGTTTCCCGTTGTGGATTACTTGGTGTGCAGCATTGTCGTACAACTGTTGTATGAGATGTATAATTGTCTGTAGCACTCCGTAGTAGCGAAGTAGTTACCATTATTTGAAGTTATTGAGGTTGGTGATGTGAGACTGACTAGCAGTGGAATCCAGGATCCGCTCATTTCGTCTTACCCAAGACTTGTTAGCTGAAGGTGCCTGCGTTCTCATTGGGTGATACTGTTTACACTGAGACTCGAACACTGCGTCCGTCGTTTCACTCTCTAAGAGGCTCCTGAAATCATGACAGACACTTGTTGTGCAATGAGTATGGTTTAACATTATTTTGATTTTTCCTTGCGATAGTTGCTGATATTGGTGAACCTAAATGATCAAGTGAAGTTAAACTGTCAGGTTCGAAAGGTGCAAACGCTCCAGTGACAGTGAACGCAAGGTAGTCGATGGCTAACGTCACTTGTCATTATTATAGTGCAAATATGAACACTATTCACCAACTAAAGTGAAAATTTCACCCACATCACGTTTTTAAGTACTGTTTAGACAATGTGTTAATAGCTAGTTAGGGTTAGGATTTGGCTTAAGGTAGGTATTGTGGTTAGTTTTAGGACCAAGGTTAGGGTTACGATTAGAGATAGGTTTGGAGGTTGGTATTATTTATTTTAACTTGTTTTATTATTCACATTTTCCTGGTGAATAGTCGTCGATCCTCTTACTAGAAACCACAGTAATTCAACCGAGGGCTGTTGAGGAAGACTGTACAATAGGATAAGAGAGATAAACGATTCACCAAAACAGTTCATCTTCAGTCACCTCTGTGAATATATATACAGAAACTGGTATCTAACTTAGAAACTGATACTCCTCATTATAACTGGGACATATTTGTAAGTCATGTCAGAGAAAGATAACCTGTTTAATGTGCTTTTCAATGCATTTTCTTGTAAACAAATGTGATTTTTGTATGTGTGAAAATCACCTATTTTATGATTGGTCGCCTCAAGGTCACTCATGCGTTCGCATCCCTTTGCCAATGATCAACTGTCTTTTCTGGGCTTAATATCCGGATCACATGAGGTGTGGTTGGCGAGAATTTTACTACACCGAACTACCGGCGCATCATATGCGCATGCATGCGTGTAACCTTAAGTTACTTTTGTATTGATAATACAGTCGTAACGGTACATACCTACCTACCTACCTACAAATGATAATTAAACCGTTTGATTTATGGTTTATGCATAATTATGTATAATTTTTTTTCTAAAATTATTATTATTATTGTTATTTATAGCTGAATTGGAATTTGCAATCAGGCCACCGAATAATCAGGATGTTACTCTTGGCCAGACTATTTCAATTGATTGTGCTGCTAAACCGTCAGATCTACAACCTGTGGTGGAATGGAAATATTTACAAAAAAGTAATTTGACTTTTAGCGATTTGTTTCTAGCGATGTTTTAATTAAGTTTGTCTACTTATCTGTTTTACAACTGCATTATTCTCTTTTTTCTTTTTCCTTCACGTTCCCCAGTGGAACATAGGGCTTCAAGCTAGTGGCTTGAAGTTTCTGTAGCAGTGTTTTTTTTTTTACAGGATTGGGTTGCTAGCCGCATGCCCAACCTTTCCTCTTCACCAGCATTATTTCTGGCTTAGCGAGGTAAAGGAGTGCTTTGGTGGCCGGGGATCGAACCTCGGACCATGTGTATGGTCAGCGAGCGTCCTAACCGCTATGCCACCGACGCATGAAAGACGTATCTGCAACCTTGAAGGAACTCATGTCCCTTCTGAGATTCGAACCCGCGTCACTCAGTGCTGCAGTCAGAGACGTTACCACTGAGCTATTCGGCCATTATTCTACTTATTGTTATTTGATTGCATGGAAGATTTCATCATCATCATGACAACCTGGGAGTACTGGACAACAGTTTCGTCCTAGTTTGGGACTCTTCAGCGGTACGCACCCACCGCAAGGGTTCGAACCCAGGACCTTCTGGTTACAAGGCGAGCTCGTAGACCATTGAGTCATTGGGACCCGATCCAATGGTCCTTGAATTCTAACCTCTGCCAATTCACGACAAAGCGCGACCGTTTCGCAATGTCTTCTTCGATGAGTTACTGCCGCATCTTTAACCTGCTGTACCCAACTAACTGGTCACAGCTTCCCACCAGAACCCCAGGTTAACTGCCTGGATAGGGCCCGCCAGTCACTAGTGAGCATCAGATTAATTTTCAAGTATTGGTTTCTGTAGGGATTTTGTTTGATTGATTGCATGGGGGCTTTCATCATGAGCTTACATCAGTTAGAGAACCACTGGAAAACCACTAGGGAGTACTGAACAGCCAGCTGTTTCGTCCTAGCTTGCTTTTTATATTGATGGTCTGTGGAGTTTATTGGTGGCTTTGTTGGTTTTGGGGCGCTTGACATACAACCACTGGGTTACAGATTCGAACCCCTTATGCAATAGGTTTGGTTCGCCGTTGCCAAATGTATGGCAAAGCCAAGGGGTTGTGTTGTTATTGGTGGTTTGTAATCCACCTGTAACGACCAAAAGCGATTCATTGTAGCCTGGATGCAAGGAACCAATGTTTGCATCCTACTATGTATGTAGCTGTCTGAAACTTCCATGAGAGACACACAATCACAAAACGATCTAAAGATAGCAAAAAGACGGATATTCATCTCATAAATCCATGGTTCTATTCAACAACAATAATAACATCAAAAATTCAAAATTGCCTGAATAGTCCTGCTGCTGTTAGGCAGCTTTACTGGCAAGAGAAATTTCAAGTAAGAAGTTTCTGTCAGAATCAAGTAGAATATTTTCCCAACAATGTGGAATGAAAAACTCTGTCCACAAGGTGCTGACAAAATGCAGAGTCTTCTGAACACCTTGAGCACCAATCTTCGTATGTTTGGCATGCGATTCGCCCCTGTAAAATGTAAGATGCTGCTACAGGACTGGACTACGTCAACTCCCAGCTTAGTGATAGGGAGTGAAGTGATAGAACATGTTGACCACTTCACCTATTTGGGAAGTTGTATCAGCACCAACGGATTGATTGGTGACGAAATCTCAGCACGGATCCAGAAAGCTCGGGCTGCTTTCGCTAACTTACACCATCTCTGGCGTAGGCGTGACATCCGACTATCAACCAAGGGACGTGTGTACTGCTCAACAGTTCGCTCCGTCCTTCTCTATGGCTCTGAAACATGGCCAATACGAGTTGAAGACATGAAAAGGTTGACTGTTTTTGATCATAGATGTCTACGATCTCTTTCTCACGTTAGGTGGTATAATAAGGTAAGTAATGTTGACGTCAGGCGTAGAGTGTTGGGCAAAGAGGGAAAATCAATCGACGAGGCTATAAAGTTACATAGATTGAGATGGCTAGGTCACGTGTTGCGCATGCCTAACCATCGCCTCCCCCGACGGACGGGCATTACTAGCTGATATAGGTAGGTGCAGGTTGGAAAAGAGTAAGTGGTGGCCAAACAAAAACATGGCCTCATCAATCCATGAAATCCTTGACAGTTAAACTGAGTCAGGTAGGGAGATGCAGACTTCCGGGTTTGGGCCCTCGGACTCTAAGAATCAATGGCTGGAGACAATAGGTGACATGGCTCAAAATCGTTGTCAATGGCTTACGCAGATGTATTCAGTCTCTGTAATCTTTCATATTCCTTTCTACCATTACTCATTCTGTTTCACTCTTATACTTGTCAAAACTCTATTGATTCTCTTCACTCATTTTCTTGTCTACCTTTGTGTGCTATTTGGAACGTGGCAACTCGAACTGCTTCACTTCGGTGCCAAGTTCTATGTTGAATCCAGACAGACACACAGACTGTCCACAAGAATCACACACTAGCGCTCCTTTCAGACGATCTAAGGCTAGAATAACCTGGATTCACTCAAATCACAGTCGTGAATCAATGCATTATGATCAATATTTGTCACACATCCATAAAGAGAAGCATTTAAATTAGAGATTAAACATGGTCAGAGACAAATAACAACGATCATGTCAACATATGTATGTATGTATGTTATGCAAATATCAGAAGAAGGATATAAAGTGTAGGGGGAAAGGCGATAATAATTACGAAGTTAACTGAAACGTCCAATTAAGTATAAAATATTGTGATTACATCTTTCAGGAGGATTTTTCCGAATAATTATTCCATCACAAATGCCTATACCCTTTGTCTTGATATTATATATACTAACAGTTAGTCAATCAGTCAGTCAGAAAGTTTGTCGTCTTTGGCTTCATGCTGGTTAACTGACTGACTGACTGAGTAACTGGTTTCAAGATAGAACTCTACACAGATGTGCAGCAGTTCCACTTGTCACACTTCCTCCATGTACCACACAAAACAAGAGAAGAGAGTAAAGAGATAATTAACAGAAGTGTGTGTGAGGCAAAAAGAGTAGTAATATGGAAGAACAATAGAATTTTATTGGATATTATAAATCACAAAGAGTGAATGCATCTGTGCCGGCCATTGACAACGATCACTTTGAGCCATATCACCAATTGTCTCCAGCTGCCTTCATTGGTTTTTACCATCCCGAGGACCCCAACCAACCTCCGTACATGGCGGCTGGCTGGCTTAAACTAAATGTTGTGAATTTCATTGACTGATGAAACCATGTTTTGGTTTGACCGCCTATTTCTCTCGCACATTTCTGCTCATTATAGTAATTTTGAATTTTATTTTTTTCTGTATTTTCTCTACTTTATCATTTATAAACTTGCTTCTTTTTTTGATCCATTTATTGTGCCTTTTTTCTTTTTATTTAAGCCACTGGGTCGTATGTCAGTGTGACTCAGTTATCTGAAGCTACAAATGGTCGTATTGGTCAATTAGCCAATGGTACTTTATTATTATCCAGTGTTGATGAATCAGATCCAAGAGAATTTTTGTGTTTTTTAAAACCGGGACGTTTATCAACTGCAGCACAACGTAGTTCAGCTGTCAACCTTGAAGTACACGGTAAGCTTGAATATTTTTAAGTACTGGTTTTTGTAGGGATTTTTTTGTTTGATTGGTTGGAGGATTTCATCACATAATCTTACATCAGTTAGAGAACCATTGGAAAACTATGCGGGGAGTACTGGACAGCCGTTTCGTCCTGGTTTGGGGCTCTTCATCAGCACGCACTATGTCATGAATTGACAGACGTTGGAATTCATGGACTGGGCACTGGGTTGGGTCCCAGTGGCTCAATGGTCTACGAGGTCGCTAGCCTTGTAATCAAAAGAACCTGGGTTTGAACTTTGATGGTGGGTACGTACTGATGAAGAGTCCCGGACTAGGTTGACGAGACAACTGGCTGTCCAGTACTCCCACTTTGTTTTCCAACGGCTCTCTAACTGATGTCAGCTCATAGGGAAATCCACTAACCAATCAAGCTTGAATATCCTTGGTTTTGACATTTGGTTTTAAAATATATGTTGAGGGGTGAGGAATTCAGAGACGTCTGTTACGAATCCTATCGCGCCTCAGATCATCCTTCCTTCTTCTTCTTCTCCTCTTTCTTATTCTTCATTCATCCCTACGGCTATCCAAGGTGGTCTCACCATCGATTATATATTCTTCGGCAATCTTGTTGCAATTATTTGTTTAGTTTCGATTATTATCACCAATATTCTGTTTTTTTGGAATGTTGGTTCGTGGGGATTTGATTGATTTCAAGTTCGACCACGAATTGATGTCAAATTGAGAATCACGTGAAAATCAGTGGGTTTTTGGATGGCTGTATTGTGCTGGTTACTGAGAATTTTCGGCAGCTCACATCTAGATCCTTCGGGTGACCCCATTGACTATCCAGTCTCTATGGTCCAATTCAACGGTATGTGAATTCTAACTTCCGCCAATTCGCGATATATATGTGTACTTCAGTGCTTCAGCGGTAGAATGCTCGGTAACCACGCTGCAAATAGTCCAGGATTCGGTCTCCGGCTGATGCACTCTTAGACCTCGTCTAGAAGTAAGTAAGCTCAATAAAGAGGAAAAGTTGGGGTCGAGGCTAGCAATCTCCTCACACCCTAAAATGCAAACGTTTACTGCTACGCAAAAATTTAAAGTTGACGCTTGGAGCCGTATCTCCCACTCAGAATGCAACTGTCAATCAATTCATCATCAAACAATACCCAACTTAGAAGGCAAAAGGATTGAGCGAAGAAATACTTACTTTCCAGTTAGATCCTTATCTCTAACCTGAGATGAGAATCTAATTGTAAAGTAACTATTTCCTCGCTCAATCCTTTTGCCTTCTAAATGTCTAAATAGGGAATTTTTCTATATTGGAATACCCAACTTCACAGCTACACTACTCTCAAGTCTGTGAGGAGGTCAACAGCACTCAGCATCAAAAACAAGATCTGGATTTTCAACTCCAATGCGAAGTCAGTGCTACTATACGGATCAGAGACTTGCACTGCGCGTCATAAAGAGCATTTCAAACAAACTACAGGCCTTCATTAACAGCTGCCTTCTCTCAATACTCAAGATCAGATGGCTGGCCAGAAAAGATCAGCAACAGGGATCTCTGGCAATGAACGAACCAACCCAGCAGGAACCGATTGTGCAACAAATATGCAGGAAGAAATGGAGATGGATTGGCCATACTCTGAGAAAACAAACCATCAAGTGACATCACATGCCAGGCCATTGTTCGAGTGGAACCCGAAAGGGAAGCGGCGAGTTGGTCGTCAGTGCAAGGGTGACTTGGAGGAGGTCATGTGAAGAGGAGATGAAAGTATGTGGGCAGACTTGGAGCCAGGTGAAGACTCTAACAGAGAACCGAACGCAATGGAGACGCACGGCTGAAGCCCTATGTTCCTCTAGGAATTAAAGGAAACAATAATAATAATAACTTCACAGCTAAAGTTAGCAATGAAGATACTGTCTAGGTGGACAATAAAATGTCTTGTCGTTAAACCATCCAGATCAGAGAATATAACAACACGAAATACCATAAACTATATATTATAATCCATTTAAATAGGGATTGTAACCAGGGTACCATTATTATTGTAGTATTAGAGTATTATAATAGCTATTTCCAAATTGAATTTTGCTCTGACTATGTCGTCTAGTAAGACAATGAAAGCTTCGCCATTAAATCATCCATCCAACCCTAACCCTAACACAACCATGCTAAAATCACCAACATGAGCTAGAAATCTTCTCCAGTATATTCTGTAGTCTTATCCGCTTTAATGTAATAGTGAAGTTTTAAATATATTATTTTGTTTTTACGAGTTGATCACGGAGTGATATCAGTTAGAGAACCATTGAAAACCAGCCACAGGGAGTACTGGACAGCTAGCCGTTTCATCCTAGTTCGGGATTCATCGGGAGTATGCACCCACCACAGGGGTCTAACGCAGGACCTCCAGGTTACAAGGTAAATTAGCTCGAATACCATTCAGCCACTGGGACCCGACTCCTCAATGACCATTCCATGAATTCTAACTTTTACCAATTCGTGATTTAGCGCGACACCAACCAATGTCGTCGGTAGTTCATCCATCCGCACACTTGACTGGATGGGCCTCACTGGTCACGATTTTTCACTAGAACTCCAGGAAATTCCGTCTTGTAGCAAGTCACTAGTGAGCATCAGATTAATTTTAATAGTTGGTGTGTAAGGATTAGATTTGTTTTTACGAGTTGATCATGGATTGATATCCGTTAGAGAACCGCTGAAAACCAGCGCTGGAGTACTGGACAGCTGTTTCATCCCTCTTTGGGAATCATCGGTGGTCGCGCTAAATCATGAATTGGTAGAAGTTGGAATTCATGGGCTGGCCATTGCATCGGGTCTCAGTGGCTGAATGGTATACCAGCTTGCTTTGTAACTGGAAGGTCATGGTTTGGAACTCTGACCTTGGGTGCGTACTACCGATGATTCGCAAACTAGGATGAAACAGCTAGCGGTCCATTACTCCCTGTGGTCGGTTTTCAGCGGTTCTCTAACTGATATCAATCCGTGATCAACTCGTAAAAACAAAAATAACCCTTACAAACTAACTATAGAAAAACTATATTATTACCAAATATTCACTGATTTCGTTCCTATTCTAACATAGGCCTTCAGCGCTACATCTCCATTGTAATACTCTATTCTATGCCATCATTTTCAGCTAGTTCCCCAACTGGCTGTTTTTTGGTGTCACTCAATATTCTCCCTAGTGTATTTCTAATCCACCTTCATAAGTTATAATCGGTTCGTCGGTGGTTCAGCGGTAGAGTGCTCGCCCACCACGCACGTGGTTCGGAGCTTAAATCCCTGTTGACGCACTCTTAAACTTGACTTAGTCTTTAGGTAACCCCAGTAAAGAGGAAAGGTTTGGCTAAGTTGGTATAGTAACACCACTACTACTGAAACTCCAAAGCTCTCAAGCTTGAAGCCCTAGGTTCCACTTGGAACGTAAAGGATTAAACTAATAATAATAATAAGTAAGGTTCATGGCTAAGTCACCGTCTGCCAGAGTCCCCTTGTGGGCTATTCTTTCTTGCGGCGGCCATCGGATCTATGTTAATATAAGCAGTGAAGACAGTTGTAGAAAAGCCTTAACTCTAACTGCTTAATTTCCTGGGTGAAGTTAAAGTATCATAGCCAAAGCCAAAGTCTTTCAAAAGTTGACCTTCAAGAACCAGTCAGATACGGGGAATACCATGAAAGGTCATTCTAAATCAAATCATGCCCGGCTTTTTGAACTTGGAGAAGGTCGCTACAGTATTCCACTTATTCTCTAGGTACTTTTTCTGTATATCTATATTGTTAAGGGTAGAGTTATGGCTTTTTACACTGAGGTTTAGGGTTTAGGGTTAAAGTTCGGATTAGGAGTTAGAGTTAGGAGTAGGTTTAAGAATAGTGTCAGAAATATCAATAAATCTCAAAGTACCATAACCTGCAGTCACCTGGATGAATGTATCTATTGCGTATGTGGTATGATTTCCCTATACATCATCTGTGTAGTGACTGAGTGACATTCTTAAAACACGTACGCGATAGCTATATAGTGTAATACCATGTTTGCAGTGGTTTTTAGTACATTTTTCAATCGATTTGACGACTTTTTTGTATCTGAATTCTGATTGGTTGCCCCAAGTCACCATGGTTTTGACTATGATAGTTTAACTTTGCCGTATTTCCCGTATTATTGAGTTAGCAAATCCTCTTTAGTTTCCCCGCATTATTTTCTCTATTTCTCAACCTTTTTCCCACATAAATTCACTTATGAATATTTATGCTGATATTTTATTGTTCTAATGACTTTTTTTCTCATCTTCAGTACCAGCACGTATAGATCCATTAGAAGGTGTTGAAAAAGTTCGTGGTTCACGATTCAATCTCACCTGTAGTGTATACGGTGATCCAGATGACTTGAAAGCTTCATGGTATTATCGTTTATCGCCGAAATCACGTTGGCAAATTATTGATAAACCATGTGTTGTCCCACTGGCTTACGTTGATGAAAGTCGATCAGCTTTACTTCTTCGCGGTGGAGATGATGATACACTGGATGCTTTTCGATTAACTGATGATGTCATGTCCACTGAAGATCGAGATATGATATTATCTGATCAAATTGGCAAGATGGTGACAGCTTCATCAGAAGGTGGGAGCAGTAGTGCTATTAGCGGCAGCGGCAGCGGCAGCAAAGATTGGAATCCAAGTTTAGCTGATTGTCAAAGTTATGCTACTGAAGGCTTAGAAAGTGGAATACTATTTCGTCAGGTAAAATGAAACATTTAATTTTTTATGTGTTATGTTAATAATAATTATCTTTGACCAGTGTAACGACAGAAGACAAGGGCCAGACAACAGATTGTTTATTGAAAAAATCAAGAGATATTTATTGATTTTTATGTTTATTATTATTAGCGTTATTGTTAGCAGAGAAGCAACATCTTCTGATTGGTTGTTTTCTTGCTGAAGGTTATTCTGTTGTGTCTGCGCCCGTTTCTCAGAAAGTTAAGCCATATATCTGCCAATCATATTTGCATACGTTAAGTCTTCTGTGATTGACTGATGAGTTCCTCAAGGTTAAGCTTTATTCTTGTGTTTTTTTCTCATGACCCTGATTCGGGACTTGGACATTGATGTAAACTGTCGTCTACAATTTTGTCTTGTAGACAGCTCTCATCACACCAGGATGACCATTGGGTTTTTATTTGTAAACGGCTGCAACATAGATTTCCGATAGTTGCAATGATAGATCACGATTAGTTAAGTTTAGTGAAGCCGAATAATCGTAATAATGGTAATAATGATAATAGGTTTATTTCAAACTGTCGCGTTGATACAAGTATGGAACATTCAGGACGTGTACAATATCGCATCCAATTTTCTCACTACATAATACAGGGGGATATAATTAGACCGGGCATTTACATTGGTAATATTGTGAAATAAGTATATGAATACAAAATTAAAATTTAAGTAGAAATACTAACCACAATATAATAATGAAACGAAAAATAATAAAGGGGTAGTTTACTCAATGTTTCTCAGGGAATGAGTAGTGCCAGGCTTTACACTTTTCTCATCAGATAAATTGTGTGAGCAAAATACATATTGTTGAAGTTTCTCTAGCAGTTTGATAGGTTTAGTGGGTGTAGGGTTACTAGTCCTACACCCAACCCTCTCGCTTTTCATGGGCGTGGGACCGAGGTTAAAAAAGCCGGTAATACTCGGTATTCCTAGCCGGTCACCCATGCAAGTACTAACCGGCCCCAGCGTTGCTTCACTTCGGTGATCGGACTAGAACCGGCGCTTTCAACGTGCTATGGTCGCAGCTGAAAATGGAGATGGATTGGGCATACACATTGAGGAGACCATCAAATGACATCTCGCGCCAGGCCCTCGAGTGGAGTCATAGTGGGAAGTGACGAGTTAGTCGTCGGTGCGAGGGGGACACGGAGGAGATGAGAGATTGTGGGCAATCGTGGTCCAAACTGAAGAGGACGACAGAAGATAGGACGAAATGGAGATGTATCGTTGAAGCCCACCTATGTTCCACTCGGAACTCAAGGGAATAATAATAAAATAATAATAAAAACATATTGTAGCGTTTTTATACCTAGTCGTCCAAGCATACAGTCTTCTATAGTTGCTTCTAGTTCTGCCTGATAAGATGCAAAGAGAGATTTTTGTATAGCCTAGTCCGATAGGATAATATGCGTTAATTTCTTGCATTAGTCCAAGTGTTTATTTACAACAGTATTAACGAGTTGGTTTAGTGGCAACCCTCTCTCTCTCTCCCTACTGACAGCCTTTAGGGCTCTTCTCAGTGTAACAAAGTCTTTCTTATGTAGCCCAGGAAAGATCAAGTGGGGTGGGGGCAGGGAAGCAATAAAGAAGAGGAGGTAGAGCACAAGAATTAACAAATTGTAACAGTGAAGACTGAATGATACCACTATATCTTAATTTCCTTACGTAGAACGTTAAACGAAATATCTCTCTAGAAACTAACATAATGTTGAAAGATCAGGAAAGATCGCAGAGGAAATACACAATCTAAGGCACTTAACATTTTACCTAATTTCAACTTCAGTGCCATCGATGATGGTACCGAACCACTTCACGTAAGTTGCGCTTGTGTCTGAAAGTGAAGTTAACAACCTGACATTTGGAGAGATTTGGTTTAAGACAGAGAATAATTACTCATCAGGGTATATCATCGAATTCATCTGGAATTTACGGATATGCATCACCTGTGGTTTGCTGTTGAGCTACATTCACCGACGTATTCAAACATGGCAGCCCAGTCTCTTCTGTTTCTTTATACTTGCTTTTGTTCAGAAACGTCTTCATTCCTTCAGTGGCTAAAGGTGGGCCCATAAAGTATGGTTAGTTGTGGTTATACTCAGAGTTATAGGTAGGTAAAATAACCCGATTGAAGAAATAATGAACCTCTATGGAATAAGATGGCTGGTGTATGTATCATATGTATCTACGTTCTGGTCTCTTACAAGAATAATGCTTGAAATAGTCAATAGTAGTCAAACCACGTCTTGACACCAATCTATTCAAGTGTATGATATGTTTTTAAGAGTTAGTTTGTAGGAGTTTGCCTTGTTTCAAGTTTAATCATGTATTGATGTAAGTTAGAGAAGCATTGAAAACCCACAGGGATTACTAGTTGACTGTTTCGTCCCAGCTTGTGAACCCTCATCAGTACGCATCCATCGGAGTTCGGACCCAGGACCCTCCGGTTACAAAGGAAGCTCGTATGCTATTCATCTACTGGGGTGGAGTCCTATGGTCGATGAATTCTAACTTCTACCAATTCGTGAATTTAGTACAACCACCAGCCAGCGTCATACGTGGCGACTACTAGTCCTCACGCCCGACCTAATTGATCCCACCGGTGATAACTTCTAACTACAACTCCTTGCAACTTCATCCTTTCGCCAGTCACTAACGTGCATCAGATTAATTTTCCGGAGTTTATTTGTAGGGGTTTCATATGTTTCAAGTTTGATGTTTGGTCTAGGGTGCGTAGACGAACCTGGAAGAGGTTTCCTGAGATATCAGGACTGAATGATCAGATGTGGCTTAATATCCTACGAGCTCGCTAGTCTTGTAACCAGAAGGTCCTGGATTCGAACTCTGCCGATAGGTGAGTACTGCCGAAGAGTCCCAAACTGGTCTGACAAAACAGATGACTGTTCAGTACTCCCCAGCTGGTTTTCCAATGGTTCTCTAACCGTCGTCAGCCCACATGATGAAATCCCGTACCCATTTTAATCATCAGTTTTTATAGAGAGGCTATCTCAAATTCAATCCTTTCCCCATGAATCTTTCACACACACACACACACACGTGCACTTATTGTTTTTCCAGCAGTGTGTTCACTTCATTCTTTTTTTTTAATATTTTGGTTTCTTCATTTTAATTTTACTGCATAGGTATCATTTTTTAAGCCAAATAAGCGTGGATTAGAAAAACAGCTGCAATTTTTAAATCTTAAAGAAGTTCATATGGGTGAATACTTGTGTAAAGCATCAAATAAATATAATCGTGATTCACAAGGACAACCAGTAGAAGTTGAAGCATTTGTACGATTAACTGTTATATGTAAGTGTTTTTTTTAAAGTTTTCCTATTTTTCTTTGGATTAAAGTTTCCGTAACGATTGGGTTGATTTTCCAGGGGGTTGAATGGCTAATTCCATCCCACCCCACCCCTACCCCTTCCTTCTTTTCTCTTCTCAGGCTAGCAGACTAGGCAGCATCGTTTCCAACGACAAATAGTCGGTACAAATGAGGATGTCAAAGGCAAGAGAAACCTTCATTCATCTCTGAAATTTGTGTGGAAATCTATTGCACTCTGGATGAAGAATACGATTGTAATTTTCAACATGATGTCAAGTTAAGTCTATGTATTTGGTTCAGTGATTTGACACACGCTTCACAAAAAAGCATTTCAAGCACCCTACTTCAGGCTTTTATCAAGAGGTGCCTCCTCTCGTTGCTGAAAATCAGAATGCCCATCCAAAAAAGTTTAACAACAAGGAACTTGTTATGAACTACGGAACTACGACCTAATAGACTATGAGAGCGAATACTAACCTTAATGCACTGACTAATCTGTCCTAATCGCTCGTCAACAACAACAACAACAACAGTAATACCAAAGGGCCGCAAAGATGGAAGAGAAGGCTGGATGTTGATAGGAGCAGAGCCTTTACTGTAGTCTCAAAACAACAGTCGAAAAAAGGCTGACGGCGCTTGCGTACGTATATATGTTTTAAAATGACCTTGAGAAGCACTAATGTCATTGATAAATCAAGACAGTGAACAACCAATAGGATTTCAAAGGTCATAAATAGGATTAGAGAAAGTGAGGTTATAAATCAATAAGTGTGGAGTGAGAGAAATACAAACAGACATATAAAAATGACATGTAGAACTCGGGAAATGAATCAAACAAGAACCTGTGAGCCGAACAAACATGCCGAAGATAATGGAGAGATGGATTGGACTGGATATATGCTCTGAGTATACCTTCAAAAGATATCACGTGTACAAGGGAGAAAATGCAGTGAAACCCTGACTAGAAACGATGAGTGTTGGACGTCATTTCGAGATTGGTATATTATAGGTCGTGTGTGTGTGTGTGGGGGAGATGATAGCTTACTGGCAATCGTGAAGGCATCTAAAGAGGACTGCAGAGAACACTATGCAATAAAGATATGCTGCTGAAGCCCTATGTTCCATCCAGAGTCTAAGATTTTGATTAATTTCACTGTAGATTATGTCAGCAACATCAGTTGGACAGTCACTGAAAGTCTATGGAGTCTATGAAGAGTTGTTTCGTCGTAATTCGAAACCTTTTAGCTATTCACACGCATTACTTCAACAGCTATTGAACGCAATTCACGAAGTGACCTTTGTGCCATCCAATTAAGGGGTTCATTGGCTCATGAATTATGCCTTCTATCATGTTCCTAGTTAAGCATATTTTTATAAAAATGGACCCTAACGAGAAATTTGGAGGATCTGGACTTCGCCGATGAGATACACGTCTGATTTCCCACAAACTGGAAGATATGCACGTGAAAAGCAGCAAGTTGGCAGAAGAAGCATCAAAGATAGGACTTCAGGTTAACATAGAGAAAACAGAGGTGATGAAGATTCCTGGGTAACACCACCAACAGCAACAACAACAACAACTGACAACAATCAGCATAAATGGGAGAAATCTGAAAGAAGCAACCTCCTTTACCTACCTACTGAGGAAGCATCGTTTCAACTACAGACGGACGAAACTGACGAGGATGTCAAAGCAAGGATCGGGAAAACAAGACAAGCTTTCACTACTCTCAAGTCTGTGTGGATATCAACAGCACTCAGTATCAAAAAAAAGATCCGGATTTTCAACTCCAATGTGAGGTCAGTGCTACTATGCGGATCAGAGACTTGGCGCATCTTAAAGAGCATCTCAAACAAACTACAGGCCTTCATTAACAGCTGCCTTCTCTCAATACTCAAGATCAGATGGCTGGCCAGAAAAGATCAGCAACAGGGATCTCTGGTAATGAGCGAACCAACCAGGAACCGATTGTGAAACAAATATGCTGGTTGAAATGGAGATGGATTGGCCATACTCTGAGAAAACAAACCATCAAGTGACATCACACGACAGGTCGTCGCTCGAGTGGAACCTGACCGAACGGGAAGCGGACAGTTGGTCGTCTGTGTGAGGGTGACATGGAGGAGGAGATGATGTGAAGAGGAGATGAAAGCATGTGGGCAAACTTGGAGCCAGTTGAAGACTCTAGCAGAGAACCGAACGCAATGGAGACGCGCGGCTGAAGCCATATGTTCCTCTAGGAATTAAAGGAAATAATAGTAATATTTTTTTAAAGTGTTGTTTATCTTTCTTTTTTTCAGCTGTTCCTGATTCCGTTCAATTTGTATATAATAGTTCCCGAACAACAGCTACAAGTGTTTCTTTTTCATGGCTGCCTCCATTACGGGATGGAAATAAACCAGTACGTCAATATCGTATACGTTATTCACACTCAGAACCAAGTGCCAATGGACCAATATCCTCCACAAAACAGGTAATTTTGCAATGTAGCGTCTGTTTTCGTATAGTGTCTTTTCTAAAAAATTTGTCCAATTCAAGTATTATATACATTGTATGACACTTATCGATGTTTCTCAGAGAAATGAACAAAGAAGCTCAGCGAAGACATCTTTTCAGCGATTTCATCTTCAAAAGAAGCTGTACAATTGTATTTATATACATCAGTTTTCTTTGTAAAGGACTCTGAATGATGAGTCAGTTGAGATGTTGTGACGGTTGCTGACGTCGAAGTGTTCAATTATAGCGCTTTTGATTAAACTAGTGCTACCTATTTGCAGCTGTGCTGAGCAGTGTTCTCTTATAGGTCTTATAAGGACGTACATAGAACAACCTGTGTTGCTAGGTACACGCAAGCAGGTGAACTGATATTTACGGATTCAAAAATTTGGTATAAAACTGCGATTGTGTGCATAGCTTTTGAGGATGTAGTCTTTTGAGGATATCTGTTCGCTGTGCTTCTTGTTCTTTTCTTTTCAAAATTAGTGTTTTGACATTGCAACTGCTCAACGTATATTCAGATTGGATGACGGGCATCCTCATGAACTGAATGGATTTTCCTATATCTTGTTCTCAGTTGTCTAATACACCTATTCATACGATTGTTTTGTCTGTTCTAACTTTTTGTTTGTTAAAGGTTTTGTCTTTTATGGATAATTGATAGCAGTTGATCTTGAATGATCTGAATGTTTTTTTTATCAAGATACTTGACTGTTCATCAAAATTGTACTGTGTTTGACTGGACACTAGTCAGTAACTAGTGTGTATGTGTGGCTAGTCTTATCTTTAGTGCAGACTGAATTCTATCAGTCAAGTTTGCAATGTGGCCACCATTCTAGGTGACTCGCCATCATGGTGCACTTTGAACTGTTGGTATTAGATGGTTGGAGGCAAACAGTAGGAAGCCATATAATACAAACATTTTACTGCATATAGAACAGAAGTGAATCAGTTCTATGAATGTTGTTGTCTGTGGTTTTGCGGATACTGAGAGACAGTGACTACAAACTCATGGTGATGAGTCAAATTCATGCGCCGTGGCACAGATCCATTTTACTCGTCCAAACACTGGATATGAAAACCTGCATAGATTTGTGTCACATATAACACACATTTTCATGTCAACATTTCATTATACACTCAGTGGTAATTAACTGTCATTGAGATGCGTTTTTTACTTCCTACTGCGTACTTCAGCATCAAATATGCATAACTTCCCAACTCTTATTTCTATATTTTCCAAATTGCCTATATAATCAATATCATGTATATATGGTTTTTAAGAAATTATATCCGTTGAGGGAATTAGGTCAAAGATGTGAATACATGAAATAATAGTATGAAATGCAATTAAAATATTTGTGATTATAATCATAGTTTAATGTCAAGTGGCAAAATAATTAACTTCGTATATAAAATAATACATAAGGTGTATAGATTTTGGAAAGGGGTACATAATAACGTAATTCTGGATGATGTCTTGTTTGCTTTCAACAACTGCCATCCTTCTTTACAATTCACCATAGAAAAGGAATCCGAACTAAGTATTCCTTTTCTTGATGTGTGCCTTAGCAGATGTAATGACAGATCTCTCAAAAGATCTATCCACCGGAAACGTACATGGAACGGACAACTAACTAATTTTTACAGTTGGGTGCCTATTTCCAGGAAAAGGAACCTAATTCGTTCGCTCTGCTTTAGCATAAGGAAAATTTGTAGTTCTGATTCCGTTGACTCGGAACTTGACTTCTTAAAAGCCACACTCGCAGAAAACGGTTACCCTAACCGATTTATTGACGGCAACATGAAAGATAAGCAGTCTAAACTGGTCACCGACTCAGTTCCAAAGAAAAACTTATTCATGAACTTGGAATTCAAAGGTGATCAAGCTTCAGATATGCTCAAAAATTGTCTCTGTAAATCAGTCAGTAAGACGTTCTTTGCGGCTAAATTACATATGACGTTCACTAGCCACAAATTGTTCTCTACCTCTGTAAAAGATAAGCTCCCCGTCTGGCCGCCTCCATGTGCATCCATCAGTTCACCTGCTCTTGTGGGGCAAGATACATTGGCCATAGTCAAAGGACGCTTTCCGCACGGATTCGACAACATATTCCAGCATGGTTTTACAAGGGAGGAAAGAAGTGTTTGCGAAGCTCTATTCTAAAACACCTGATCGACTTCTGTCACTCTGTTAACCTTGACCATGATTTCAAGATCATATATAGAATCCATGCTAACTTGCCAGCCGCGTTTTCTTAGTTGCAGACTTCTAAAGACAGCGGAGGCCTTGGCAATTCACGACTTTAAGCGAGATCTTTGTGTACAAAAGAAGTATGTACAATCCTTACTTCTGCCTTGGTCGTAGAGGGATACACATTTGTTTATTTAGTTATTTTTTGTGTCTTCCCCTTGTTACTACGATTATTATTATTATCTTTACTATTATTACTATTCGCACTCTGAATCTTTTCCACTTGACCCACTTGTCATTTTAAGCCCAAAATTAATAATTTTTATATTTTTATTTATACAACATTGAATTCTATCTTATCAAATTTCACACCATGTTATGTAACATTTTATATTCGTCTACTAATCCCATAATTATGCACCCCTTTCCAACATCTTTACACCTTATGAATTGTTCTATATATGACATCAATTGTTTCAACACTTGACATTAAACTATGATTATAATCACAAATATTTTAATTGTATTTCATATTATTATTATTTCATGTATTCACATCTTTGATCTAATTTCCTCACCGGATATAATTTCTTAAAAAACTCCAATATATATATGATTGTACAGCTTGATAATAAATTCGTTGAAAAGAGTCTCTTCGCTGAATATTGTGTTCTTAATATCATTTATGTATTTTTTTTCTTTCAGCCTAATGTCACAGAGATCGATGTCCCTGCGAATCAGCATCGTATTGAATTGAATAATCTTCGACCATATACAAAATATCATATCACTGTAGCAGCAATCAATGATGTCGGTTCAAGTGTAGAGAATGCTTTAGCGCTGACTACTCAAGAAGCTAGTATGTTTTATCCTTTTGTGTTTTCTTTGTTTATATTTCTTTGTTTTTAATCGTTTTATTTCCCTCGGTTAGTTGTTTCCATTGATTGGTCACAAGAACACTGCCGAATGTTATGCGTGTTTAGTCGTCGGTGTTGTCAGTCGCCACGACTGATGCCTATCATGAATATAAGAACAAAACGTTCAGCGAAGAGTCTGTTTTCTGCGGCGAATCCATTCACCTAGCTAGCTGTACATTTATATTTAATTATTTTGTGTGTATATGTGCGTGCGTGTATATTAGGATTGTCAAACGAAAATAAAAAAAAATAGTTAGGGTCACTGTAAAGAAGAAAAGACCGAGGAGACTGAAAGGAATGTTTAATTAGACGAATCGTGTATGGTACATAGCTAAATTTGGTTTACCATATTCTCAACCGGCCATTTGCACATCTTTACGACATCCTTGACGAATTGCTCGAATATCGTCTCATTTGATAGCTTCTTGGATTCTGCATCATATGGCAACATTCTTCTCATGGTTCTCTTCTTTGATTGCTCTTTCCAGTGTGCCAAACCTATTGTTACTTCGTTTCTGATATACTACTTATATCGGATTATAAGTAGCACTCACCACATCACCACTGTTTACGTCATCAAAACGCTTCAGAAATGTGACGAATAATCAAATTGTAACTAGGGTGGGGGTTGACAAGGGTTGCGTAATATGAAAGACATCCAGAAAAGTAGGATGTGAATGAAATAGCATGGAGAAAAGTGTCCAAAATAAATTATGTAATAGGTGGAAAGAGTAAATAAATGGTTGGTTAAGAAAAAGATGTTATTAAGATGTCATTATCAAAATTCAGAAAAGCATTATGAACAAAGTAGTAAAGCTTGAAATTATACCCAAGGTAAGAAGGGGGGGGTTGAGAAGTTTCTTCTGTGTACATAAATCATCAGGGTTTTCCATCCGGATTGCTAACGCCTCGGCAATTCAAAGTATGCGGAAGTTGTCTCTTTTCAGGAGGCTTCTTTTGACTTTGCAAATGACTTTGAAAGAACTTTCCGTGCATATTGAGTGACCAGTGTTGAATATATGTTCAATTGTAGCACTCTTTATTGATCCACTCTTACCTTTTCGTAGCCAAACGGGATAATGTTCTTTGACTCTTTTAGATGAAACACTCATTGAATGACCTATATATCTCGCTCGCTCCACATGAGCAAGTAAATTGGTAGATACACATAGAAAGACTGTTGAAGAACAATGGGCAGCATGAGATTGCCAATCGTAGTGTAGCATCAGGGAATGTTCTTTTTAAGGTGTTAGATGTCGGCTCGAAGGTCGCGTTTGAATACCACATTCATGTATAGCACCTTCTTCGGTACAGAGATGGGTTTATCTATAAAGCGTGGTGGATCGCCATTCTCAAGTAGTGTCTTCCTCAAAAGAGTGGCCTCTTCTTCTACTGATTCGAGGCTGCAGATTCTACGGATTTTAATCGCAAAAGATATTATCAGGTTCCGCTTGCGATTGATGGGTACCGAGCTGTAGAAGTTTGTCAGCTGGGGTCGTTCCACGTAGGCTTTCTATGTTATTGATCTCTTCAGAGTTCCATCAGTCTTCTTTGTTGGTCGGACGTCCAGAAATGAGATTGTTTGTCCGGTTTATGCTTCAATTGTTACAATTGAAGCTCGTTACAGTTTGATTATTCATCACATTTTTGCGACGTTTTGATGACGTAAACAATAACCCTAACTGTCTTTTTTAAATTTTTGTTTGACAATCCTAATTTACACGCACACACACACACACAAAATAATTGTATATAAATGCGATTGTGCAGCTAAGTGAATGAATTCACCAACGAAAAGAGACTCTTCGCCGAACGTTTTGTTCGGATATTCATGTTTGGATGGTTATTTTCCGTGAATCCCATCAGTCAATTTTGCATTGTGATCATCAGACTAGGTGGCTGGCCATTCGGGGGGGGGGGGGGGTGCATCCTGAATTGATGTCAAACGGCTGAAGGCAATCGACAGGAGGCCCTAAACTTAAGTTTCGTGCTTGTTGGCACTCACTACTCAAGAAGATGTATATACGATCATCAAGGAACTCATGTCCCTTCTGAGTTTCGAATCTGGTTCGCCCACTGTTGCAGTCAGTAACGCTACCACTGAGGAGGTATTCGTGTTCGCTGTTGATCTCCTTTAGGAATGTGATGGATACTTCGACTGGTCATATGTCTGATCCTGGGTTCGAGCCACTGGCAGTAGGTGCGCACTGCTGAAGAGTCCTATCCTAGGACAGAACAGCTATCCAGCACCCGAGTACTGGTTTTCCAATGGTTCTTTAATCAATATCAGCTCATGATGAAATGTGAATTCGTTTGAGCTGACAAATTGGGTCACAGATGCATCTTACTGGGGAGTCTTTAACTTCGATGACATTTTCACTGTTATTGATTTCTTTGTTTTGTCCACCACATATTTCATATCATATCATGTTTTAATCGTATTTGTGTGTATGTGTGTGAGAGAGAGGAGTACTCATGTTAAATGTGAACTGGTGTTATTTCAGTGTTTTATTTGTTGGTCTTTCCTCTCATAACAATTAAGAACCGGATGGTCCAGTTCAACGTCTTATAGCCAATGGTACAGCATCGGATACAATTGTAGTTAGCTGGGATAATCCTGCACCAGAGCATTTAAATGGTAATGTTGACCGGTATTGGATTTGTCGACAACGTATAAAAGATAGTCTATCAGCTGAAGAGTTAACTGAACTCCCATGGCCTGAAGATCAAACTGATGAGCATAGGTAGGTTCAGTGGGACTGTGATTCATGTGTATGTTTTTATTTTATTTGTTTGTTTTTTTGAGTTCCAGCTCGAGTCTTGAAGTTTCAGTAGTTATGATGTTATAATGTTTATAGGATGGGGTTTCTAGGCCTAATCTCCGCTTTTTCGGGCTAACTCTCAGTTGCTCAGTGGTTTAGGAGTACGTCCATCAGGAGTCGAACTAGGCTGTGATCAAAAGTCACTTTACACGCTTACCAACCCTGAAACTTATGCTTATATTTAAATATAATATTTGTTGTCGTTACAGTAATGATAGCCAGTTATGCGGAGGATACACTTTTTAACGTAGAATAACAGATAAGTTATCATAGAGTGTCAAAATAAATAGTCGTATTTGTGTGACAAACGTTGTCTGGGCTGAAATCGATTACAAAATATTGTGAAATAGGAGACAATGGTGGTGATTAGTCATAATAGATTTGTAGAGTGTGGGGTAGGAAAAGTGACAAGTCAGTTCATATTTAGAAAACTGGAGACCGAAGCTCAATATACACACGCTTTCTTAGCTTCGTACCGATGAAATTCAAACGTAATCCGATCAGATGCTTAGCATTTAGAGCGAGGTTCATTTGTTCTGAAGACTATGTAGAGAAAGAATTTCAGTTCATCTGAGACATTCTAAGTGAGAATGGATAACCAGAGAAGTTCATTACAGCCAACATAGGTTACTACAATTGTAAACATGAACTGACAACGGTGGAGAAAAAGCCTCTATTTTTACGCCTACAATTCAACTCTTGCAAAGATTCTATCCCAACGTTTAACCACGGCTATAAGAAAACTTTCTACTCTGCACGTCTGTTCCTATCCTTTAGTAACCGTTCAATGTTCACCCAGGAACTCAAAGATGTCTTACCTCAGTTTAGCTCTTCTTCATACATATACCATTTCAACAGTTCCTGTGGTTCAAGTTATATAGGGCACATGACTAGGCAGGTTTGTCTACGGGTTCGAGAACATTTACCAGCTTGGTTCAGCAGGCGGGAAATTAAGGGCATAAAAAGCTCGATCCTGTCACACTTGGACGATAGTGGACATCGCATCGATGTCAACTCAGCTTTCAGGGGTATATACCGAATTCTGAAGTCGTTATCACGTACAATTCTCTTGCGTCTCCTAGACATAACTGAAGCTGTTGCAATAAGGTCGACTAAACTGGAAATTTGTATCCAAAATGAACACAGACAGACTCTGTTCCTACCTTGACCAAACTTGGATCAATGATTTTCCTCCTCACCAAGACTGCCTTTTCCCATTATACCTCTTGGTTTCTTTTCTTTCTTCTCTTATTATTATTCGTCATAATTTATGCCCTTCATGCAAACATTCTCTCAATACTATCGAATTTTCCATTTACACTATCTGGACTTATTGTTAGTGTTATTATCTCTTTTCTCAATATATGCCTCCACCTGTTTCATTTCACCACATTGGTTATTTCATGCTGAACCTCTCTCATTGCAGTCTTACTGTCTCCTCTTTAATACACACCACTTTGTACTAGCCACTCACCTGACACCTTTTGTGACCTTGAACTGACTTGTCAATTTTCCTACCCCACACTCTACAAATCTATTATGATTAATCACCACCATTGTCTCCTATTTCACAATATTTCGTAATCGATTTCAGCCCAGACAACGTTTGTCACACAAATACGACTATTTATTTTGTCACCCTACGATAACTAATCTGTTATTCTACGTTAAAAAATGTGTCCTCCACATAACTGGCCATTAATGTAGCGACAACAGATATACTATATGTTATATTGTAAGAACCTGAAGAGGAGGATTTACTGAAAAGAATATTCTTCGTTCAGATTGACTTCCAATTCATGATATGAGAATATTTCACACTATTAAATCTTATATTTAAATCAGGATATATTTGAGCAACAAACAACTGTGGATTACCTGAACAGTGGTCAAACTATTTGAAGACGAACATTAACTCATAATCGTATAATACTATTATCCAATTATTAGTACTTTATGATTATATATTATATAAAATCTTTCTCATTGTCTTAAGCACATACCTGTCACCTAATAGCTCTTGGATTCGAATCCGGCGCCACCTATTTCAGCCTGAGCAATAACAGGGTTTAGTATCATCAACCATCTGTGCTACAATAAGTACGGCTACTCCACATCTTAGTTAATCAGAAGTCTGTTTCAGATGTTTGCGTATGTGTGATCTGTTTGTTGGCGTAAATGACAGTCGTCAAGATAGCAAGCATATATCCATGATTTGGATAGTGTTGTTATTAGAATACGGAGATTATCTGAAAACTAATATGGGATGTATTTGCGCCATCCACATTTTGAACAATTTGATCCCTCACACACACTTACTTGTCAAGTCGATATTTATAAAGGCAATTAAGTTAAACAAAGTGACAAAAAAGATAGAAGAATAGAACTTGTGCACTGTGGTAGAGTATAATTTCATTCTGGGTAAAATTTATTCGGATAAAGTCTCACAGTGTTATACAGTAATATTTGCTGATGACATTTCGAGCACAATTTATTGCTCATAAATTATATTCAACTAGAGAATGATGAAACAATGGCTAGTTTTGATATAACTAGTCTTTATACTAATATACCAATCAATATGGCCTTAGAAACAGTTAAAAAAGAACTAACTGCAGATCCTGAACTTACTAATAGGACAAAGCTGCCGATTGAAGAAATTATTTTAGGAATTCAGTTATGGCTCACATCTACTATCTTTAAATTCCAAGGGAAAATATATAAACAAACAGGTGGTGTAGCAATGGGATGGATCACCAATATCCCCTATCGTAGCAGGCATATTTATGGACAGCTGGGAAAATATTGCTCTGCATACATTTAATCCTACTCGAAAAATATGATGGAGATATGTGGATGACACTTTCGCAGTTTTAAAAACAGAACATATCTCTAGCTTCTCCCTACACACTAGTGAAGGGAATAAAATTCACATTTGAATTGGAAAATGAACGAGCAGAATTAGCTATGAAGTTAGATTGTAAAATAAAAAGAACAGAAGAAGGTAAATTGCACACTAGCGTTCATAAAAGTCCAACGCATTCTAGTAGATATTTAGACTTTAATTCACCTCATCCGTTCGTTATCTGTAAAGGCAGGCCTAGTTAAGTATCTAAGAAACCGAGCAATAGTACTAAGCAGAACAACAAAAACCCAAGTGATGAAATGAAACAGATAGAAGAAGTGTTGGTGTTAAATAACTAACTATCCCATAAAATTCATTAGGATTATTAAAAAAAGGTCAAAAGCAAAATAAAAATAATGGTGAAACTAGTAATTTGATAACATAAATAAGAGAGAATATAAGTCATATACTGTTATACCATATAAGGAGGGGACATCTGAAATCCTACGTAAGATTCTTAATAAAGCAGGAATTATGGTGGCATTTAAACCTACAAACTCACTCAGGGACAAGCTCTGTAGGCTAAAGGAGCCTGTAGGTTGACCCAAACAGTTTTTGAACACACAAGGGGGGGGTGAGGGGAGAGAATTAAGTTTATGAATGGCTATAGCCTCAACGTATTTCAATAAGCGCCCTTAACCATTTTTATAGATGACCTTAAAGGCTGAGTTTACATCAGTCTTATGGTTCATCTCGATTAGATGTTTAGCTATAGACGAAGTTGGTGGTCTGCCATCTGCGTTTATTGATTTTCCACAATTCATTTGTCCTTCTAACCATTTCGGGATATGCTCTCCCATCCTCACATGCAAGGCACGATTACTCCTCCCTGTGTATATGTGGCCACAAACACACACATACACAAATGAAAATTGGCAAATAGTGTGGGATGTGACATAATCACTCGTGCACTTTTGAGATTTTCAGTGAAGCATATTTTCGACTTTTTCTATAATTACAAGCCGGGCTGCATAATAGGTCCTACAGATGACCGAATTTAACCTTTGTTTCAAAATCCTGCTGTTTATTTCACCGTTATGTGGTAATTTGATGAAAACACTTTTTTTGGGGGGGGGGTGATATCGATTATAGGTTTAAAGACTACTACAAGACTTCTACACTTGTTTAAAAATCTTAAAGGATATCCATTTTCAACAAGAGTATCCATCAATATTTCATTGTCTTTCTCTACAACATCAGCCGTGCAAATATGTTGAATCCTCTTAAATAAGCATTTCACCAAGCCTCTCTTATACTGAAATGGACAGAAACTGTGAAAATTAAGGTATTGAACTGTCCAAGTGGGTTTTCTGTAAATTGATCGGTTTATTGAACCATCATCTAAAAAGGCGAGCTGATTGGGACTTTCTTCCTTGCATGTTACACTCATATGATTCTGTACAGAGTTAAGTCTATTTAATAGACGACTCGCATCTTCATGATAATCACATATCAAATGATATCATCTACATATCTCTTATAGAAATACGCTGAGGCTATAGCTATTCATACACTTGTGAGTTGTGTCCAGTTACGGACCGCTTCGGATTAAGTCGGAGTGTATAATTTCTAGGGTGTCAACCTTCTCTCTCCAACCACCTCCCCGTCAGTAGCGGGAAGATAGCGCAGTTGGCTTGCTTCTCCTTCTGACGGAGACACTTCACTACTATCACATGCTTATTCGCTAGTAGCATGACTTCACCCTTAGACATCTTTGCAAGTGACGTTTTTAGCTCGGTAGTACTTGCATTCAGAACATTCTTTGCAGCCAATGTGGCTAGTGTTCAGTTGTTACAATATGCAATCCTGACTACCATGTCAAGGTAGCAATAAATGTCGGTCGGATAACTTGCTCCTATACTCACGTTATACTATCGATTTACACGTAAGAATTTGCATGGTCCTCCATCAGAGTTTCGTCTGGCTTCAACCTTAGCAAGCATAGTTCACCATCTTTCGGGTCTCAACGTGTGTACGCTCTTGCTCCGCCCCGACGGTGCACATAGCACAAGCCCACATATCTACGTCATGGGACGGGCAGGTGATGCACTTGCTGCTCACAGCTTGGAATTTATGAACAAAACAACAGGATCTCACCTTAGTCTACACCTTCCTTATACTATACTGCTCTCCTAAAATCCTTTCTCAACCTAGTTTGACTTCAGCTAATATTACTTCTCCAAAAAACCTTTATACATTTGCATGTATATATAGTGAAGTTGTTATAGTTATTTGTAATACTAGTATTTCTCAATGACCGAATTACAGGAAATCGATCAACAACACAGAGAGGGATGAATTTAAGAATTTGTATTTGGCAGAATTATTTGTAATTCATATTGATATCGAAGTAGGAAGTTATCTACACATCTCTCTAGCTCGTCAAGATTCTTAGGACTCATTGATTGATGCTATGGCACTCTTTAATGTTCGTACGAACTTTTCTGCCAACCCGTTAGACTGAGAATGACGTGGTGCTGCGTACCGATGATGACAACCTATATGTTTAAGCCAATCACTAAAGTTCTTCTCACTGAAATGAGTACCAATTATCAGTAACTAAGACATCTGGAAATCCTTCTCGACTAAAAATCTTCCTCAACGCTCTGTGAGTGAATTTTGCATTAAGAGTGTCTGTAATTATGACTTCTGGCCATCTAGAATAAGAATCCACAATATTTAAGGCATAGTATGAATTTAACAATAGACCACAGTAATCCGCATGAATACAAGACGCAGGCCATGGGTTCCACGATGACTTCCCATAGGACATTTTATGCAAACAACTGGAACAGCTCTCTGATCTTTTTCTAATGTTAGCACCAGTTTCCGGCCACCAGCATATTAGGCATGCCAATGATTTCATCTTATCAGCTCCCAGATGAGCAGAATGAAGACCATCCAAAATCGCAGATCTTAATGTCGGAGGAATAATAATTCTGTCATTCAGACATAGAAATCCTTCAGGATGGACTGCAATTTCATCTCTTTGCTTATAAAAGTCCGGAAATCTTTGCTTACACTGAATATTCCAACCTCTTTTTGTTGCATTAATAATGCACCCGTAATATTTCCGAGTATCGTTTATAAGTCGAACTCTATCTACAGTCAATGGCTGGACTAAAAAACAGTCAGTGTCATTAGCAGAACTTCCGTGCGTCGGTGGCATAGCGGTTAGGACGCTCGTCGACCATGCACATGGTCCGGGGTTCGATCCCCGGCCGACGCACTCCTTTACCTCGCTAAGCCAGAAATAATGCTGGTGAAGAGGAAAGGTTGGGTATGAGGCTAGCAACCCCATCCTGTAAAATAAACACTGCTACAGAAACTTCAAGCCACTAGCTTGAAGCCCTATGTTCCACTGGGAACGTGAAGGAAAAAAAGCAGAATTTCCAAATAATGAATAGCGAGAAAAGAAGTCTGCCTGATGATCAGTAACTATGTGAAACTTAGTACCAAAGAGATACTTGTACAAGTGTCTTATTGCCCATACAAATGCTAGAGCTTCTTTCTGCGTTTGCGAGTAACCTTGTTCACTCTTACTTAGGCGTCGTGAAATACAAATAACAGGTTGTCCATTTTGCTCAAGTACTGCAGAAGTAAATTAAATTTATGATTTCTCCACCTTCTTGTCTCCTATTTCTCCCTGTATTATTATTATTATTATTACTAGTACATCGATGCGTGGTCGTTATAGTCGTGTACATTGTAATATGGTTATTCGACAAATGGATCATGAAATTACTGGTCTACCAAAATTTACAGCTTATGCATTTCGTGTCATTGCAATGAATAGTAAAGGCCCGTCACCACCAGCGTATACACAGACAAGAACATTGGAAGACTGTAAGTTTATATAGATATCAATGTGTTATACGTTTGTTTTGTTTCTTTGGTATATTTGTTTTTTAAAATCTGCGGCAATTTCTTGGAGTTGAAGATGTAGATGCTAAGGTGTTTTCGTTGTTCTCTGAGCTGATCATTATTTAAGGGACATCAGACAAATCAGCGGTAGTCATCGTCTGTACTTGGATTCAGAAGTTATTCAGTGTTTTGTCATTGATCAGCCTTATTGATTTCCTCGGGATGCAGTCTCTAAAATGCACTAGGCTTAGGTTTCATGGTTATTTGCCACTAGTTAACTCTACATTCAAACAGCGTCGAAGGAATTTATTTTCCTTCTAATATTCGAAACCATAGCGTTACTACTCAGCTATTCAGGTCACGAATAGAGTGACGATGAGATTACCAATGTCTCCATTACTAGCCAACATATTTATGAATAGTTAAGAGTTTAAAACTCTTAGAACGCTTAATCCTTCTCCTAAGTTTATGGTAGCAAAATGCGGATGACACATTCATTGTGTTGAAAACAGTCTAGTGGCTCAGGTACTACTAGCTTCTGTAGGAGATCGATACCCAAAATCAGTTAAGGTAAGTTTAGTTCAGCGTTAATATAATCAAGCCAGCAGCTTAGCTAGTAAATTTAAATTTTTAAATTTTATTATAACTTGATTCCACACAGTATTTTGGTACAAGTATGAAATTTTCAGCATGTGATACCGGTAAGCCAAATTTAGCAGGCCAACCGTAGATATCAGATGTGCGTCGGCGGGGGATCGAACCTCGGACCATGTGCATGGTCGGCGAGAGTCCTAACCGCTGTGCCAGCGACGCACAAACAAAAAATAATTTAAATCATGAAATCAAACAATCAAGGAAAACATTCTTAGAATTTATTCGAAAATATATGCAGATCAATAAGTAAAATAAAGGTGGCAGTGAATATATATATATATATATATATATATATATATATATATATAAGAAGGAATTTGAAAGTCATGATAGGACTGCTATATAAAGAAGGAACATTATGGACCCTAAGTAGGCTTCTTAATGAAGCTGGAATTTAGGATGACGTTTATACCTACCAACCATCCAACTAGCTCACTCATAGATAAATTTTGTCTGCCTATAAATACTCGATAAATCCAATTTAGAAAGATAATATAATTTAGATAAAGCAATAAGAAGACGTGATTTGTCTGAATCGTGTAAGGTGTATTTGTGCACAACTCATTTGGAACAATCTGATCACACACAGACTTGTTATAGGACTGTATATATATGAAAGCAATTAAAAGTTAAGAGGTGAGAGATAGAAATAGACTTAGGTCAAGTTAAAAGGGACAATGAAGATCACTAAACCAAATAACCGAGGTAATAGTACATCTACTCTGGCTGGTATCAAAATAAAGTTTACCAAGGAAGGTTTAATGTGATGACGAATTGTTGTTTAAATCGCATAAAGGTGGTTCAAACTTTCTAATTGCCAGCTAGGGCTTCCACAAACTTTAGGATACGCCCTCCCCTAAACACGTTTTATAGATAGGTTTAAAAGATGTGTAAACGTCAATTTTATGTCCTGTCTCTATAATATGTTTCGCAACAGAGGAGCTGGGTCGTCGCCTGTTCTCACCATTAATGGGTTCTGAGGATTCTATTTGCTTCTGAAGCTAGCCTTTACTTGCAGAGATCGATGAGTCCTCCCTCTTATGTATGTGTGTCCACACGCATATTCAAATTGGTAAATACAGTGGGATGTGACATCATTTTTCGCATGTTCAAAGTGCTTAGATGGTTGGATATATTGGCTTCATATTCTCAATTATTATGATATTAGCTGGATAAAAAGTCTTTTTAACCACAGCGGTGTTCAATCTTTGTCTCGTTATCAAGCTACTGTGATGCCTCATATAGGGTAGTTCGATGTACACATTTTTGGAAAGTAGGTCTTGGTGTTCTGGCTACTTAATATCTCCTGATGAACTTGTCTGGATAATTGTTATCAACCAGAGTTTGTGTCAACTTTCTTTGTTCTTCATCAAGTGTGTCTTCAGTGCATATTCGTTGGATTCTACTGAAGAGGCACCTTACTAAGGCTCTTTTGTACCGAACAGGGCAGAAACTGTGGTAATTAAGATACCGTCCTGCCCATATAGGTTTTCTATAAATAGATCTTTTTACTGACCCATCAAGCCGTCCGTTGACTAAGCAATATGTCTAGGAAAGATAAGCAATTATCTTCCTCCTCTACAAACAGATGTAAGTGATATGCTATTCCGAACTTCATTCATTCGATTTAAAATTTGAGCTGGCAGAACAAGACTTATCACTTATGATTACAATATCATCTACATACCTTCTATAAAGTAGCACATTTTCGATTAAATCCTCTGATAAATTCTCAATGCACGACGTTTACTTTACACACGATTCAGACAAATTGCGTCTTCTTATTGCTTCATCTAAATTCATAAAGGGAACTAATTGTTTTAAATAATATAATTTATCAAATACACCATGTAATGACTATTAGTGAGGTCAGTTGCATAGGTCAAAGTAGTAAATTGGGGTCAAGTATATTATCAGAATATGGAAATTTAACTAGGCCTAGAATGATTGACCCTGCTAAATTGAATAATATGGAAAAACAACTCAGCCATTGCGATGCATTCACTTGCGTCTAATCACACCATAGAGTGATATAGAGTATAGGCGATGAACATAGAGAGAGAGAGCGGGGGAGGTTAATCACTGAATCTTTATTCATCTAATCAACACCGAGCATGTGAAATTGAAATGACTCAACGCCTATACCGGAGGTATGGAAATTGGCGGAAAATCACAAGGGTAGAGTGGAGGAGAAATATATATTTTTTCAAATATTGGTTTTTTTGGGATTTTGTTTGATTGGATGGAGGATTTCATCATGAGTTGACATCAATTAGAGAACCACTGATGTAACTTCATGATGAAATTCCCCATCCAATCAAACAAAATCCCTACAAAACCAATATTTGAAAATTAATCTGATACTTAGTAGCTACTGGCTCTATTTAGGCAGTGACCTGGGGTTCTAGTGGGGAGCCGTGACCAGTTAGTTGGGTACAGCAGGTTGAAGATGAGGCAGTAACTCATCGAAGAAGACATTGCGAAATGGTCACGCTATGTCGTGAATTGGCAGAAGTTAGAATTCATGGGCCATTGTATCGGATCCCAGTGGGTTAGTGGTTTACGAGCTGGCTAGTCTTGTAACCAGAAGGTCCTGGGTTCGAACCCCGGCTGGTGCGTACTGATGGAGAGTCCCAAACTAGGACTAAACAGCCATCCAGTACTTTTAGGTTTTCCAGTGGTTCTCTAACTGATGTCAGCTCATAATGAAATCCTCCATCCAATTTATATATATACTACTCATAAATCTTTTCAGTAGCACACACCACAATATGACTTTCTGTATGGATGTTATGGGTATACTGATTGATTGCTACAGCGCTGTCGATATTATGCTGACTAGATTCATTATACTCTTGTATGTCACTTAACATGGTCACCTGTACCTCTTCTTTTTTTTGAAATTACAAGTAACTATAGCTGTTAAATGTTTTTGTTTGTCTTGACTGCGCAATCATTAGTTTGAGGATATAAGACACAACAATAATATTGGTAATGTATGCTTTCAGATATATTTATATATTTAATTTTATTGATTGATAGCTTATGATATATTTCTGTTGTTGTTTGTTATATATATATGCATATATAGTACCACAAGCTCCTCCAGCAGATGTGACATGTGCATCTCAACAGCATAGTATCACTGTGTCATGGAATCCTCCAAATCCAGATACTATCAATGGTATTTTAACAGAATATCATGTTAGTTATTTTGCTGCTAATGAATATGGAGGTAAGTGATAGAGATTTTAGGGGATACAATATATATGTATGTTCTATACTATTCCTTCCATTTTTATTGTTTACACTATTTTCAGTCTATGTAATCTGCTTGTTAAGATGTGTGCTTTAGTCGGCTTGAGAGACTTTAGACTTCACTCGACCGAGAGGTACTCTGGCGATGTTTGGCAGTGAAGGGAATACCGAGAAAATACGTTGCACTGATCAAGGCACTCACTGTACTCGAACCCATGCAGCCAGGTAAGAGCTTACGGAGAGTTGTCATCTGAAGTGGTGACAACCAGGGGGGTCCGTCAAGGATGCCCACTATACCCATTTCTACTCAATTTCATCATAGATGTACTAATGCACTTAACTCTAACTCACTTCAGCTACTCAGGGATTGACTTGTTACCACCAGGGAATAATCTGTTTGAGTTAGAATATGCAGATGATATAGTTTTCCCACCTGGGTGAAGGCTCTGACAAAATGCAGAGTCTTCTGAACACCTTGAGGAACAGTAATCTTTGAATGTTTGGCATGCGATTCGCTCCCTTTGTCAAATGTAAGATAATGCTACAGGAATAGACTACATTGACTCCTAGCTTAGAAATAGGGAGTGAAGTCGTGGGGTGTGTTGACCGCTTCACTTATTTTGGAAGTTGCATCAGCCAACGCCAACGGGTTGATCGCTGACGAGATCTCAGCAGGATACGGAAGGCTGGTTTCGCATATGCCAGTTTACGCCGTCTGTGGCGTAGACGTGATATCCGGCTGGCTATCGAACAAAAGGCGTGTGTACTGCTCAGCAGTCCACTCCGTCCTCCTTTATGGCTGTGAGACCTGGCCATTGAGAGCGTAAGACATAAAAAGTCAGTCTAGCTAGCTGTCTTTCCCTGAGTTCTGTCTACATCCCGTGTGAAGTGGTATAATAGAGTGAGCAATATTGAGGTTAGGCTTCGATGGAGTGCTAGGTGGGTCGGAGGGAAAATCAACCGACGAGGCTGTGAAGCTATATCGAGTGAGATGGTTAGGACATGTGTTACGTTTGCCTAGTCATTGCCTTCCTCGATCGATGGGCAATGTTAGCTGATATAGGGTCAGGCTGGAAAAGAGCTAGGGGTGGTCAGACCAAAATATGGCTTCATCAGTCGATGAAACCCACAAAAGTTAGTTTAAGCCACGTAGGTAGGTGTAGACTTCCTGGTTGGAGTCTCTGAGACTGGCTGGAGACAGTCGGTGATATGGCTGACAATTGTTGTTAATGGCTGGCTCAGATGCATCCACTCCTTGTGACTTATAATTTCCACTGAAACTATATTGTTCTTCCTTGTTACCATTCTTTTTGTCGCATATCCATGTCTACTGTCTCTATTTTGCATTTCTTCTACTTTCTCCTCTTGCTTTGTGTTCTGCATGGAGTGTGGCGACTTGAAGTGCTGCACATCGGTGCAAAGTTCTGTTTCGAAAACAGAGAGACTACACTTTTATTTTCTCAGGTGAACCGCTAGAAATAGTCGATTAGTGTATGTATCTAGGTGATTGCATGAGAGTTGGAGAAGGTGTGTTAGATGACAGACATGTAACGGATACGAATGTAACTCCAACGGTTGCCGTACTTTCCATCGTTTGTTAGCACTGAAAGTGGATGGAAAATGTTGAAGGGTAGTGAGCTAGTTGAGTGGCAACTTGGAGAGGATAGTTTGATATAAGTGTAAAACTCGGGCACTGTGGTAGATTATAACTCCATTATAGATAAGACTTTATTTTGATTAAATCACACAGTGTTGTTTTACAGTAATATTAACTGATGACCAAGTTTCGAGCACAAACTATTGCCACTCATAAGTTACTCACACAACTTCTTGCTTCATTTATATATATATATATATATATATATATATATATATGGAATTGACTAGATATTGGAATAAAAATCAGTATGGGATAATGTACATTCAGAAATAATAATATGAGTGTTATTGATCAATTACAATGAGATGGGAAATAAGACGAGTGTTTTTATAGTCATAATAAGTAACTTGTTAGAATGTTGTGATGTGTTTGAATTGAAATAGAATTTTGAGATTATTTATTATCCTCCTCTGATTTGACTGTTGGTAATAATATCTTCCACATCTCTGGTATTTGCATTGAGTCACTTCTATTGCATGTGCTGGGTGTTGACTCAATGAACCAGGATTCAGTAATCAACCACGTCTCTCTCTCCACCTACTTATATTACTTCTTAGAATTTTAACCATCTCCCACCCTATTGTGTGATTGTGTGTTAATGCAATGACTGTGAGTTAAGTGAGCTGCATAGGTCAAACTAGTAGGTCGGGGGTAGTCAGATTGTCGGAACATAAGAATTTAGTTAAGGTAAGAACGGCTGATTCCGAGAAGATCAGAAACTTAGAAAAAAGCTTAGCACTGCATTGCACTGCGTGGATTAACACACAATCACACAATAGGGTGGGAGAGGGTTAATATTTTAATAAGTAATCTACGTAGGTGGAGATAGAGAGAGAGGGTGATTACTGAATCTTGGTTCATTGAGTCTACACCCAGCACATGCAATAGAAGTGACTCAATGCAAATACCAGAGATGTGGAAGATATTATTACCACCAGTCAGTCAAATCAGAAGAGGATAATAAATAATCTCAAAATTCTATTTCAATTCACGTACATCATGGCATTCTAACAAGTTATTTATTTATTTTACTGTGAAAACATTTTATTTCCCATCTGATTGTATTTGATGAATAACACTCATATTATTATTTCTGATTGTACATGATCTTATATTATTTGTTATTCAAATGTCTAATCAATTTCACCCATGTATACAACTGAAGTAAAAAGTTGTCTGAGTGAGTACCTTGATATGATTATGAACAGTAGTAATAAATTGTGCTCGAAACGTGGTCATCAGTTAAAATTACTGTTTAGCACTGTGTGACTTATCAAAATGAAATCTTATTTATAAAGAAGTGTAGTTTGTTTGTTTAGTTAGCATCTGTTGATGCATCATGACTCTCCAGGTCAGAATGGAGAGATGATCCGAATCAATAATTCGACATATTATCAGATATAGATGCGAGTGGTTATCTATGGCATACATGCCGCAATTTCCTCTTTTCCTAAAAGTAACATGAAGGAATGAACACTCTGTAAATTCTCTTGATTTAAGTGTGCTTGCTTGTTTTCATAATGCTGTTCCTGAATCACTCTACTTCCTTCCTCCATACTCTGTGCTGCATCTCTTGGTGCCCACCTACTTGTTACAGTCCCCAAATATTCTTACGAGCGTTGACTAACAACAATCATCGTTCGATAACCCCCTAGTAGATTTTCCTGACTCTCATTGTTTAGTGAGGTCACGCACAACATCATATTGAAACATGCGTTCCAATAGAGTGGGCGTGAGATAATTGTATATTAATAATAATGATAATACTCAACGAGTATTACGATTATTGTTTAAAGATTCTCAACTTTCTGGATCTCATTCAACTAGGAGATATGCTTCGGTAAGATCTAATTTCACAATGTAACAGCCACCATCTAGGATGGGAAATGAATCTTGAGGAGCAGGTAAAGAAATATTTGTGCTGTTTTAGGACAGCATTTAGGCCAGTTGAAAAATTGGCACAAATAAATGTGGGGGGGGGGGGGGAATATTTCCTTTCTCGACACTCACAATAGATGCCTTCCAGGTTGAAAAAATCTACCGTTTGTTGAATTGTTGTTATAAATCCCCTAGGGTTAGTAACATACCCCCATCTCATACTGTTGTCTTCAGTCTTTTTTATCTAGCAACACTATTGCCTATGAGCTTTCGTCCCCTCCATACAATATCTCCTCCATGTCACCCTCGGACTCACTCCCAATTTATCATTCGCCATTCGGCTTCCATTCGAGGTTCCGCTTGGCTTATGATGTCATTCAGCAGTCTTCTTAGAATGTGTCCAATCCACCTCCATTTCTTTTTACATATTTGTTGACTGTTGAATGATTCGCTGCCTGCCAGAGTTCCTTGTTGCTAATCCTTCCTGGCTGTCTTTCTGGCTTTAACTAAGCAACGATGGGGCAGCTGTTGATAAAAAGGTCTTCAGTAGTAGCACACTTTGGAAATGCTCTTGGTGACGCACACTATATATATATAGAAGCACTGACTCACTTCCCATTAGCACTGAAAACCCCATTTCTTATTCCTTATACTAGTTGCAGCAGATTCCCACACCGAATTCATAATAATAAAGGTCTGCCTTACTTTTCTGATCCTATCTCTGACCTCCTCATTCGTGCCGACTGCTCGTAGTTAAGATGATGCTCTGCCTAGATAAATGGAAGAGTGAACTTCGATTGGATTTCTTTTAACTGAAAGTGACTGACGCTTGCTGTTCATGGTTAATTAAGTATCTTCACCTCTATCTTCTCAGTGCTCTTTTGAAGTCTTGTCTTCGTTCTTTCTTATGAGTTTTTGTTGTATTTGACATAAATCGTTGGTGAAGTCCAGTTCTTCTCTAGCAAAAATTAACTACTCCTAATCATATGAGTGTATTCATACAACTGCCTGCCTCGCTTTATATAACCATTAGAAGCATGAGAATAATAAAGAATGAAGTTTCGAGTTTGTCTATTTACTACTGATATGGATTGTGAGTAGCATTAAAAATTGTTCTCGAAATGTCATATAGTAGTTATACTGTATCATACTTAGTGTTATATATTAAGTAGATGTATCTAATATGCAATTGTATATCATTTTCTCTGATGTGAATACATTTCAAAATTGTCTACATTGTTAGTAAGGAGTTTAAGGAACGAGAGAGAATTCATCAGATAGATATTGAGGACGGTTATATTGTGATTGATGGTTGTTCTTGCCCATATTTTACTCACCAAAGCTTGTCACATATATTTCTCTAGTCGTTCTTTTCGAAATAGGCAGGAATGCTAAGCCAAAGATTATACCCGGGATTGACTGCTTAACTTATCAAACGTTTCGTTGAGAGCCAATAAGTAATATTGCGTTGCAGATGAAATGCTGAAACATATATTGTCGAGAATTTCGCCGGTACTGTGATTTATATCGTCTGTTGTGGTTCAATTGTTAGAACGCTCACCGATCATGCTGTGGTGAGAGCTGGTTGCTAGCCAAAGTTGGTAGACAGTAATTGGCGTCAATGTTTATGTCCCCAATATTGGTGATGAGAAAATGAGAACAAAGGCTTTGCGTAGGCGGATACAGTTAGCACATAGATGATCTGACACAGCCACAGAGAGATGCAAGGTTAACTTTCTGTGAGAAACAACCAATCAGAAGACTGTGTTTTTCTGCTAACAATATTCTACAATAATGTACATTAAAACTTATGAATATATGTTGATTTTCCTTAATAAACGATCTGTTGCCTGGCCCTTGTCTTCTATTGTTACAATGCTAATGGATCCGAGTTCGATTTCCCACCGACGTACTCTTAAACTCTCTCCACAGTTTACTAGCTCGTAATAAACCAGGAAAAGAAGGGAGGTTGCGTATGAGGCTAGGATTAACCCACTCCGTAAAAATACCACCGCCATCACCGCTAATCAAAATTCAAAACTCCTGAAGCCTTTATGTTCCACTTGGAAAGGAAAGGAATTAAAAACGAAATAATAACTGTGATTATTTATACTTTTGATCTTTTTTGTTGTTGTCATTTTAATCTGCAGATGAAACAAGTTCAGTGAATCAAGCCGTAAAAGGTCAGACAACTGTCACGTTAGCTGGTCTCTTAGCCTATACCAATTATACAATTCAAGTTGCTGTCAGTAATCGTAAAGGTCGGGGACCTGCATCGCCTAGAATTATCTGTTTGACAAAAGAAGCTCCTCCAGGCGCTCCAGGTAATTCATTATTATTGTTATTTTCTATTGATTTATTTATTCCTTTGTTTTTATGAAACGAATAGAGTCGTCTTACCTCAGGATTCAAATATAAAGCGGATCCCTGTTCAATCTGTTCTAGGTGTAACCCTATTCTAAATTCTAACCCTGTTCTAAACCCTGTTTGTAATAGATTAAATAAATAACGAAAAATATACACGCACCCATTACTCCATCGGGAATCGAGTCCAGGACAAGACGGCGAACCTCGTAACCTTAAGGTTCTGGGTGCCGTATTACTAAGGAGTCCCAACCTAGGACGAACCAACTGTCTAGTATGCTCTCTGGTTTTTAATGGCTCCCTAACTGATGTCAGTTCATGGTCTTACTTGAAATCTATCAGATCCCTGCAAACGAACGCTTGAAGGAATATAAATATATAACTAGTAATTTTTTATATTTTAACTATAGCCTGATTTCACACAGTACTTTTGGTACAAGTATGGAATTTACAGCATGTGATATTGGCAGCCGAAATTTCGCAGGCTGACCATTGTTATCAGGTATGCGTCGGCAGGGGATCGAACCCTGGACCATGTGCATGGTCGGCTGGCGTCCCAATCACTATGCCACCGGCCTACATGAAAACATTAAATGGCGGTTAAATAACAGAGCCAAAGTAGTGTAACATTGATTGTTTCCAAGAGGTTCTTTACCGATCTTGTAACAACATTAATCTACATGTTGGGTAACATGTGAGAAATCGTACAAAAAAATCTCTGGAATCCTCGATAGTCATAGGTGGTGGTGGAGTTGGTAATTCAATAACACACCGAACTAAAGGTAACCGTCAGTTGTGAAGTTCTATTCAGATCACCGTTGATCAAGTATTCAAATTGTCACAGTGTATTGACCCTGGAAGTCTTTAACATAAATCGTTTACTAGTAAGTAAAGTATATACAAAACATTGAACTGTTTCGCACCCTGGTTTAGACCCAAACAACAACTACCCAGTGCTTTTTGGTTTTCACGGAAGTTGTCCAAAATCCCTAGAAAATCTGTATGAGTACTAAGTTCTATTTTTGTTCCCATTCCATCATTGAGATCTATCTGCAATCAAGGCAGTTTACTAAAATTTCTTGCCTACTCATGTAATTAGTTCTGAAGATTAGGATATTATTATTATTATTCCCTTGTGTTCCGAATGGAACATCGGGCTTCAAGAACAGATCTCCAATTTGTTCTGTTTTCTGCCGTCCTCTTCAGCTGGGTCCACGAATGACCAAACTCTCTCATGTCTTCCTCGACACACGATCTCCTTCATGTCACCCTCGCACTGACGACCTATTCGTCGCTTGCTAACGGGATTCCACTCGAGCGATGGCCTGGCGTGCGATATCATTCGGAGGCCTACTCAATGTATGCCCGATCCATCTCCATTTTCTCCTGCATATTTGTTGAGCGATCGGCTCTTGGTTGGTTTATTCCCATAATTACTTGTTAGTTATTCTTTCTGGCTGTTTGATCTTCAGTATGGTGCGAAGGCAGGCGGCTGTTGATGAAAGTCTGCAACAGGCTGTTGGAAATCCTTTTCGTGACACACCAAGCTTCTGACCCGTACAGAAAGACTGGCTTCACATTTGTGTTGAACAGAATCCTTATGTTGTTCTTTATGATGAGGTGGAGGGCAGAAGACTTCCAAGCTGGTTTCAGGTTGATGAAGGCGTATCTTGCGTCTCCGACCCTGTCTGGTTTTGACATATTCATCCGCAGTATCCGTTCGTTGTTGAAACCGTGCTTCTTAGTTAAGTGAAGGAAGTAACCTCTGAAAAATCTCTCCCGTTGATAGTGATTGGGGCTGGTTGTTGTTTGCTATTGCTGTTGTTGTTGGTTGGCTGGTTATCTTCACCACCTCCGTCTTTTCTATGTTCACCTGGAGTCGTGTCTGTGCTGTCAGCCTCTCCCACCAGTTTTTTGATTTTCGGCTGCGAGTTTTCGAGTTTATGCAAAACCAAACATAAATCATCCCTTGCGAAATCCAGATCTAGTATCTTCCTATCGGTCCAACGTATTCCTTCCTTCTCGCTCTCCACACAGTCTGACATAACACGTCTCTATTCTTATTCTTACTTTCATCGAGGGAAAACACATTGGATGACTGGTTTCCTGAAGGCTGGCTTTCACCAACCCGCAGTGTCATTTCGCCTCTCAGATTCTAACGAAGAATAAGTTCGTTTTTCTAAATCTTTTTTATATTTTTTAAATATTTTTCTTGGGCATTGAAGTTTCTGTAGCAGTTTGATTGATTTTGTGGTGTAGGGTAGCTATCCCCACGCCCAATCCTCCCTCTTTACCCGAGTTTGGGGCCGGCTAGAAGACTAGCGAGCTAGTAAACTAGGCGAGGTTACTCTATATTGTGTTACTCTTAACTTTATTTTTTCGTTTTTCTTTATTATCTAGAATTTATCAAAGTTAAACCAATGAATTCATCGTGTATTGTTGTATCATGGTCACATCCACGTAAACCACAAGGTCAAATAAAAAGTTATTGTCTAGAGGCGATCCCATTACTGGATACATCACAAGATGGTCTTGTCACTCTCTTCCCCTATCCAATCGCTTATAATGATCGTACAAAAGGACCGTGTATACGACCAGATTTTTCAAGTTCTTATAATTACTACTTTTATTGTGGTAAGTAGTTTTCAATGCAAATCTTAAAATTTTCCTTATTTCTGACATTTTGAAATAAAGTATTAATTAAGGTAGTAATATGTGTAGACAATTCAATAAATAAATAAATAAGGTCAAATATTAAAAGTTACGTAATACTAAAGGTGAAGTGGACAGATAATTAGAGTTCAAACATAAATATCATAAAAGTACTATGGAAATGGAAGAAAAGAAAAGTTGGGAGGGTTTTGATTAGAACTCACCTAGGCCAATTATGATTGCTCAAGCGAAAGACAGGCTACCTAGCTGTGACACTCCTGTGTGTTTCTACAAATTTAGGTGATCCTGTGGAGAGAGGGAAATATAGCGCGAACAACTAGACAGCCTTACAAACGCATTAATCAGCATCTTCCTTCGTGGTTCGGTAAAGGTCAAATGAAATCTATAAGAAGTTCTACTTTGGCTCATTTGACCTTCAAAATTATCTGTCACATTCCATCGAGTCTTTCGAAAGGAATTCGAACTCGTCTTTTACACAAATAGCCGAAGCTATGGGAATTAATTCGAGAGAACAATCCTAGTCTTTGCATACGATAAAAGAAGTTTGTTCTATCTTTGTCTCTCCCTTGCTTGGCCTAGATGAATTATATTCAAAACCTTCCCACCCTTTCTTATCTTCCATTTCCATAGTACTTTTATGATATTTATCTGTTTGAACTCTGATTATCTGTCCACTTCACCTTTAGTATTACGTAACTTTTAAGATTTGACCTAATTTATTTATTTATTGAATTGTCTACACATACGCACACATATTACTACCTTTGTTATTCTTATCGCCACCTACATAAACCTTATTATCAATATTTTGTTATCATTATAATCATCGTTATTAACTACGTTTAAAGTGTTAATTATTGTAAGCTATCGAATTCATTCAACTGTCACATTAGTCGAACGATTCACAGAGATGTACACTACACCATTCTTCTCTGTGGTGGTGACGAGGATCTCCTCTTTTCCGCAATTCAAATCCACTGCATCGCACCTTAATAGTCGAAGTTTGTTTCACTCCTTGGTTACTTTATGGGACTCCAGTGTCTCATGATTTACATCTTCTTCGTATTCTCACTGTCGTACAATCTCAACTAATTAACATCGACCAACTGACAATACAATGCGTTGGTGATTGGTCCAAGGTTCGAGCCCCGACCGATGCACTATTAAACTTCACTTAACCACAGGTAAGCCCCGGTGGAGAAGGAAGGTTGGGCGTGAGGCTAGCAACCCCAGCGCCTGGAAGAAACAATATCACTTCTACCGGAACTAAAAAGTTGAAGCTGGAAGCCCTATGTTCCACTCAGAATAAAAAGGATACTGTATATTTGATAGATGTCTGCTTTCGAGGTAGATTTCCCGAATTTTTAGTTGTAAATCATTGCTGGTGGGATTCACCATTACATATGCGATGACAGTCACTGTTGACAGTGGATGGAGTGATTGACAGAAGTGAGTAATAGAAATCTGAAAGAAAACAGAAAGATTGAACAGCGAAGAAATATTTACTTTTCAATTAGATCCTAATCTCACTATGGCTCTACTCTAATATACACGTATAGCATTTTTATTACAATACACAAGTGATGTTTACTGACTGTGTGAGATGTTAAAGCCCTGTTGTTTCAGTCTTCTCAATGTTTCCACTAACTGTTTCTCTATCTTTTCAATCGGATCCAGAGAAGAAGGGGTTTTTTGGAATTTTTTTGCATTATCATTAAGAATAGTATTCATCTTCTAAAAGTTGTCCACTTTGTTCATGATAACCACTCCTGAGTCCTTATCCGGTTTTGTTATTATTATGTTATCATTTTTACGGAGAACATCCGGGGCTTCTCTTTGTTTTTTTTTGGTCAAAATACTATCAGAATTGCGTTTACTATTCATGTAATAATAGCAACAATCGACCAGTGTTTATTTAAGTCCTTCAACATCTTCAGTTGATGAGGGTGTTAAGCCTTCTGTTTGAGTGTAGAGACTTTCGAACTGACTAATTATTGTTAACAAACATATCAGTGCCACTTGATTGGTAAACTGTTGTGTATTGTAATAAAAATGCTATGCGTGTATATTAGAGTAGAGCCATAGTGAGATGAGGATCTAATTGAAAAGTAAATATTTCTTCGCTGCTCAATCTTTCTGTTTTCTAAATGTCTAAATGGGGATTTTTTCTATATTAATAGGAATCTAATTGTATGTGTCTAGAGAGTGACTTCTTGCCCCACCCACCCCCTGAAACTTGGAAGTTATTAGCTTCGATACTTTGCACCAAAACGAAGGACTAGATTCACGATGTTAGTTACTGCTTAGTGTCCAATCAAAGTATCTATTACAGTCCTACAAGTGGTCAGTTGAATAGCTCAATGGCACCGTCTCCATCTGCAACATTGGGTGACACGGGTTCGAATCCCCGGAGGGACATGAGTTCCTTCAAGATTGCAGATAATACGCCTTGCTAACCAGCGAATGCCAACAAGCATGAAGTCATGGTCCAAGGCTTCCTGCAGATTGCCTCGAAACACCTATCAATAATTTAGAGTGAGCCGTGATGGCGAGCCACCTAATGGCACGGTGGCCATATTGCAAACTTGGCTGATGGAATTCAGTCTGTTTGAAAACGAAAGACTAGGAACATAATAGTAGTTGCTACCTCGTGTGTAGTCAAAGTGTACGTTTCTGAATAGTGCCAAATGAGGATGAACTAGTTTCCGTCTGCTGCTGCTGGATTCAACATAGAACTTGGCACCGAGGTGCAGCAGTTCGAATTGCCACGTTCCAAATAGAACACAAAGGTAGACAGGAAAATGAGAGAAGAGAATCAATAGAATTTAGATAATTATAAGAGTGAAACAGAATGAATAATGGTAGAAAGGAATATGAAAGGTTAAAGAGACTGAATACATCTGCGCAAGCCATTGACAACGATTTTGAGCCATGTCACCTATTGTCTCTAGTTTCCGTCGCTGCTTGTCGGTTTTGAATGATTCTCTCTCTCTGACCCCTTCCATGGTTTCCTCCGAAAATTCAAAATAGAACCTATTTGACAATGTGACTAGCGGCATCATTAAAACAAACCAAATCACAGACATTAGTTTTTACTAATAATTGATATTTGAAACCGGTAATTCCCTTACCAATCAGTAATGTGATACCAACTTTCAAAGACTAAGACTGTTCGATTAAATCTTCATGGCTTCAGATATTCACTCGATAATGTTTATGTTGTAAAGTAGATGATGTTGAATGCACTAAGCTTGTTCGTCATCAATAATGTCTGATAGAATTGCACCTCAGCTAGCATTCTTTGTAATCGAAAAGATAGATACTCAACGATACGTCTCCATTAGTAAACTGTGTATCACAGAGATAAAGGAAGGTTATTCAGATGCGTTGGCGTTAGTTAGAATAAAAGTGAAGGTAAAGCTTTATTAAATCATTATTGCTATTTCGATAGAAATGTTAACTTTTTGGGACTTTTGTACATCAGGCACCAAAATGATCATCCGCTGGGGATCGAACTCAGGACCTTCACATTGCAAGGGGAGCAGGTGTTTTTTTTATTGGACACTAGTAACTAGTGTGACGTGTCTATTCCTTCCTTTGGTGCAGACTGAATTCTATCAGTCAGGTTTGCAATGTGGCCACCATGCTATGTGGCTCGCCATCACGGTGCACATTGATTTGATGATATTAGATAGTTGGAGGCAATCGGCAGGAAGCCTTGGACCTATGTTTCGTGCTAGTTGGCACTCACCGGTCAGCAAGGCGTATCTGCAACCGCCTTGAAGGAACTCATGTTGCCTCTGAGATTCGAACCCGTGTCACCCAGTGCTGTAGTCAGAGACGTTACCACTATCTAATATCATCAAATCAATGTGCACCGTGATGGAGAGCTACCTAGTGGCAAGGTGGCCACATTGCAAACCTGACTGCATCAAAGAAAGGACTAGACACGTCACACTTGTTACTGGTGTCCAATCAAAAATACCCACTACAGTTCTACAGGAGGTCAACCGCGAGCCTGAATAGCCAGCTCAGTGGTAACGTCTCTGACTGCAGCACTGGGTGACACGGGTTCAAATCTCAGAAGGGATATGAGTTCCTTCAAGGCGGTTGCAGATACGCCTTGCTGATGAGTGCCAACTAGCACGAAACATAGGTCCAAGGCTTCCTGCCGATTGCCTCCAACTATCTAATATCATCAAATCAAGGGGAGCAGGTTGCCGCTTGGTAACTAGGTTGGATCAGTTGAACAGAAAGGATTAACAACAAGAGGATCTCTCGCACGCGACGAACCAATCAACAACCTATTGCCTGGTAAATATGCCGAAGGAAATGGAAATGAATTGGATACGCTGTGGAAACCACTGAATAACATTACACGCTAGAGAAACCTCCGAATGGAAGTTGAATGGGTAATGCAGAGTTGGACGTCGCTCTAAAGGTCACATGTTGAAAAAGATGGAAGCTTGTGAGCAATCTTCGGGCCAGCTGAAGAGGACTGCAGAAAACAGGACGAAGTGGATTTGAAGCCCTATATTTCACTTGAAACCCAAGGTGAAAATAAATATAATAATCATAACAACTGCTTTGGAGTCCAACCGCCCATAAATTCTAACATTTCTTCAATTCTTAAGAGTTTCCAGTGCTTCTCTGGTTGATGTCAGTGAAAATCCCTACAAATTAAATCCAAAAAAGTTTTGTAATACTCATTTTTAAGTGATTATTTGTGTTTATTTTATGTCTTTTTCTTCAGGTTTGGTTGAAGAACGACCATATAATATTTCAGTTCGTGGGACTAATCAATTCGATGGTCATAAAGCATGGGCTGGACCTGTGCGTCCAACTAGCAATCGTAAGCCATTATATATGTGTTTCTTTTTCCTTTATTCGTTTACTTTTCAGCATCATTGTACCTTTAGGAATTCTGTGTTTACGTCACCTACATAAGCGTGTTTATGCTTTTTAACTTTTGTCGTTACGTAAACTTCTCAGGATAATCAATATGGATTCATGACACTATATACTACTAACTGGCTAATATGAGTAGTTGTGTAGTGAGCTTAACCTTGAGAAAATCACCAACCAATCACAGCGGAGCTAACATGTGGAAATATGATTCGCAGATATGTGGCTTAACTTTCTAAGAAACGGTCACAAGCAGTACAGAATAACCTTGAGCAAGAAAACAACCAATCAGAAGAGGTTGCTTCTCCGCTAACAATAATGTACATAAAAATCTATAAATACCTCTTGATTTTCACAATAAAGAATCTGTTGCCTGGCCCTTGTCTTCTGTCGTTACAGTTGGACGCCACTTACACCGACCAATAGTGCTCCTCCTAGCCAAATCTAAGTGATCGAGACACCGGACGGTCATTACGTTTATTTGAAGCAAAGCTCATTAGCGCCGTATCCGGTTTGACTCAGTTCAAGGAACCGAATCAGTTCAAATCACCAAATTTCTGGCCAGCTAGTCAGTTTACAACTTGCACATAGTTCGGGGGTGAAATTTTCACCAGAGTTTCCTTTAGAAACCGAAATTGACCAGATCACAATATGTTGTCAGCTGCTTGACTTCATAGTTGGTAACTAAGAAAGCAAGCATTATTTCATGACACTGTGTATTTACTACTAATTGATTTATATGAGTAGTTGAACACCACTTAATATCAGTCAGTAGCGTTTACTACATGAAGTGTTAAGAATTAACAAGCAAGAACTCCAGACCAAAATTTATATTTTAAACTGCGATGAAAATAATGGTAAAGAAATCAGTCTGATTTTCATGGATTGGTTTCTAAGGATTTGATTGATGGGTTACAGGATTTCATCATCAGCTAACATTAGGTAGAGAACCATTGGAAAACCAGTTGAGAGTACCGGACAGCCAACTGTTTTGTCAGCCTAGTTTGGGATTCTTCAGCAGTACGCACCCACCACCAGAGTTCGAACCCACGACCTTCTGTATACAAGGCTAGCGAGTTCATAGGCCATTCAGCCACTGGGATCCGATCCGAAACAGCTCTCCAATACTCCCTACTGATTTTCAGTGGTTATCTAACTGAAGTCCTTTTGTGATTTATCCTAAAATGAATCAATTCCCTGCAAACTAACATTTGGAGATATTTTTTTGATCTTCAAGAAGTATATATATTTTGGAATAAAACAAATATACTGTTCGGTATAAAGCTATTACTATTATTATTATTTTATCGGATATTGTTTCCACGACGAATACCCATATAGATATGAATAGAAGGACAAACAGTCCAGCGAAGAGTCTCTTTTCGTCGGCGAATTCATTCACTTAGCTGTACAATGTCAGTTAAATATATAATTATTTGTGAGTGTGTTTGTGTGTGTATACATTAAGTTTGTCAGACAAGAATAAAAGTTAGTTACGGTTATTATTACGTCAACAGAATACTTCATCCTAAAATCTAGGCTGAAAATGTTGTCTAGAAGGACAACGAAAGCTTCTCAATTAAGTCAACCCCAGGTCAGAGAACACAACTAAGTGAAAATCATCCACCTGAACTACAAATCTTCTCTGTCATTTCAAAATATGATGAATAATCAAATTGTTACTAGGGTGATGAAGAGTAGTAAGTCTAAACTTGATTTGTCGTGCACGGGAACATCTGCGAGTATGGCTAAGTAAAGGTGTAGTGAGAAGCATCGACATATCGATATTGGACCATCTGGTCCAAACCCGCCAAAAAACCAGCATTGAAGAATCCTTCTCTATCATCTACCGGGTGCCAAATAAATTGCCAAAATCATCGACGTACCCCATGCTCCAAACAGCAGAGGTTATCGTGATTCGCCTGAAACAACCAATGCTTTGTGTGCAAAAGAAGCAAGTCCAGCCAGCAACTACTACTGCCCTGGCCGGCCTTCGGTGGTGATGACAAATTCATGAATTTGTACTATTATTTCTCCTAATTTCTCTGACATTCAGTGTATTGTTATGTTGATGCTATTGAACTGTAATCCATTGATATCATTATTGATTCGATGTTATTTAAACAACATTAATGTTTTTGTTAATAACACTAATTCACTCATTCACTTTTATGGATGGATATATAACTGTAGAACCTGATGAAGAGCAGGTTATCGAAAATGTGAATATTCTTTGTTCAGTAACCAATTCTTTTGAAAATTATGCAGTAGGTAAAAAGCCCAAAGTAGAGACTTAGCTAAGAAAAAGATGCTACCAAAATGTCACACGAAAAATCCACAAATAGTATTGACAACAAAGTAGTCGAACTTGAAATTATACCCAAAGTAAGAAGGAGGGAGTGAAGAAGTGTCTTCTGTGTACATAAATCATCAGGGTTTTCTATCTGGATCTCTAAGGCCTCGGCAATGCAAAGTAAACGGAAACCTACCGTTTTCAGCAGGCTTCTTTAGACTTTATGAAATGACTTTGAATGAATTCTCCTTACATATTGAGTGATGACCAGTGTTGAATATATATGTTCAATTATAGCACTTCTTATTCATCCGCTCTTACCTTTCTTTTACCTTCTTTTGTTTTACTTTAGCTCCAGTTGGAATTATTTCTATTGGTGAAAAGATAGTAGCACAGAATAAAATGCGTGTTTGGATGGATTGTTTAGTTATTGGCGGGTATCAACCACCGCATTGGATATATCCACAAGATGATCTTGAGTAAGTTCTTTTGTTGCTTTTTTGTTATTGTTCTTCTTCTGGCTTTGAACCACCTATCCACTTCGGGATTCATGTCAAAGTTTGTTCTTTTTCATTCTATATTGCCTTTTGCAGCATAAATTTGACTCATTATTATTATTATTCTTTCCTTGGGTTCCTCTAATGGATCATCCGACTTCAGCAACCCATTTACATCCCACTCGCAAGCTTTCATCCCCTCATGATTTCACATGATTTCCTCCGTAGCACTCTCGGCTAATCTGCCCAATCCGTCGCTTCCCATTAGGGTGTCGCTGTAGGACTTCTCACCTGATGTCTCTCAACTGTCGCCTCAGCGAATGGCCAACTTATATCCATTTCCTTTTGCATATTCGATGGGTGACAGATTGTTGGCTGTTACACTGCTTACCAGAGAGAGCTTTCCTGGTTGTTTATCCCTTCTCATTGTCCGTTTGATCTTCAGTATTGAGTCAGAGAAGACAGTTGGCCTGCAGCAGTCTGTCGGAAGAGGCTTTGGTAACTCTGGTACCAAGTCTGAGAACCATATTCAAGCACTGGCTGATGTGACATTAGTATTGATAATTCGAATCTTGTCTTGTGTGCTAAGTGTTACTATTGTTCCTGTGATAATAATAATAATAATCAGTTTTATCAGTGGATGAGGAATAAAAGAATAAAAAGGAATTTATTCATCATGGAGACGGATTGAACACACACACTTGGAAAGACTGTTGAGATCGTTGGCCCTCAAATAGAACCCGAATGGGAAGCAGTGATTTACGTGTCCGAGGATGACATGCACGAGAGATCGTATGAGGAGGAGATTAGAGCTTATCCGTGATCATGGAATCTCTGAGCTAGAGACAACCTTAGAGAACATGACGAAGCCACCCCCCCCCCCTATTTCCCACTTGGAATCCAAGGGAATAATAATAAAAAATCTCTTTATGCATGAAATTAGAATTTACTTGGTGGATGGTGAATAGTAGTGGAATCCAGGATGCGCATTTCGTCCTATTCAGGACTCGTCAGCTAGCTGGATGCACCTGCATTTCCCAGTAAGTGATGATGATGTTCCCACCGAGGCTTGAATCCAGTGCCCATAGTTTCGAACGCCAAAGCGTTATCCACTAGACCACTTGGGCCACGAGAGCCACCTCTTGTGCAACGGGTCATATTAATTATTTAATTGAATTTTAGATTTTCCCGTCGATTGATTGGACTGAAGTGCTCGGTCTCAGGTTGGCATGTCGGCTTCTTGTGCCATGTCAGCACTCATTGGGTAATCCAGGCACATCCAGATGACGAGTCCCAAATAGGACGAAATGCGCATCCTGGATTCCACTGCTAGTCACCATCCACCAATTAAACTCTAATTACATGCCCAGACATCGTCGAAGCATCTGCACAAGAAGCCAACATGTCAACCTGAGACCGAGCACTTCGGTCCAATCAATCGAAGGGAAAATCTAAAATTCAATTAAATCTCTTTATGCATTGTGCAAAAATCTCCCAATTCGTCAGTAAATTTCTAATTGACAGACTTAACCACTTTTTATGCATGAACTCTCTTCTCCATCTGGGGGGAGCTGTTTATCAATGTATTTCTCTGTCTTTAAAATGTCTTCATCTCAAATATCTTACTTAAATTATAATACCGATTCTAGCTAAATTATGCCTGTCTCCTCGCTGCCCGCTGTCTGTCTGTCGCATTATCCAGTCTCCCGCCCACAATCAGGAAATTAATCATTGGAGATGGTAGGCAGCCAGCCTTCTTTGTCTTACTCCCGCCTTCGAAGGATTCCGTGAGTTTCCCGTTGTGGATTACTTGGCATGCAGCATTGTCGTATAACAACTGTTAGATGAAATGTGTAATTGTTGGCGGCCCCCCTTGGTAGTAGCGAAGTGATTTCCAAATCACCTCTCGATCAACGCTGTCTGTCAAAGGCCTTTTCATCAAAGTCAATGAAGTTGAGGTAGAGAGGTGACTGTCATTCCAAACTCTGTTCAAAGATAATCAGTAGTGTTGCGATTCCATCGATGCATAACTTGTTCCTCCTGAATCCAGCCTGTTCTAGTCGAAGAATTTCCATCCACGTCGGCGTGTTTGATTCTCTCCAGGATGATGCGGCAAACTTTAATTACTCTCAAGTCTATGTGGAGGTCAACAGCACTCATCATGAAAAATAAGATGCAGATTTTCAAATCCAATGTGAAGTCAGTGCTACTTTCTTTACGGAACAGAGACTTTGCGCGTCATGAAGAGCATCACAAACAAACTACACACCTTCATCAACAGCTGAATACTCAAGATCAGATGGACGGCCAGAAAACATCAGCAACAGGGATCTCTGGCAATGAGCGAACCAACCCAGCAGGAACCAATTGTGCAACAAATATGCAGGAAGAAATGGAGGTGGGTTGGTGGCCATTCTCTGAGAAAACAAACCATCATCAAGTGACATCACACGCCAGGCCATCGCTCGAGTGGTAGCCGAATGAGAAGCGGCGAGTTGGTTGTCAGCGCGAGGTTGACATGGAGGAGGAGGTGATGCGAAGAGGAGATGAAAGCATGTGGGCAGATGTGGAGCGGGGTGAGAACGTTGTCAGAGAACCGAACGCGCAGTGGAGACGTATGGGTGAAGTCCTGTGTTCCTCTAGGAACTAAAGGAAACAATAATAATATAATATAATGTTATAATCTAGGTAAATTTGGGCGCTAACTCTAACTGAAAAACATGGTCACGAGGAAATCGTGAATGTGAAGCTGTAGTTCGATTGGTTGTTCCAGACTACTTGATCACTATTCACCATTTAGTGAAATAGCATCACATAGAGTGTCTATTGAATTCTAGTTGAGCAAGGAGTTCCCTATTTGGGAAAATTAGAAGAGATAATGAAGCAATTGAGGAAGAGAAAAACATCAACAGAGTGTCAGTGATGTACAAATATGTTTTGTGTATATGCATGTATGTCGATGGCAGCATATTGGAAGTTGGTACTCTCAAAATTTTCAAACAAGTCGTTTTTAACTGATCTCAGGCAGTTGTGCCTTGAGCTCTCTGCGTTCACGGAATACCAATGCTACTTCTGTTTCAGGTACCTTAAGAAGAAACCAACTTCCATGATGTGGGCAGCTGGGAAGCAATAATCTATCACACATTTCCTTAAGTATACAAAGCTTTCCTGATCACCTCTCAACTACAAAAATTTCCTAGCTTCCCGTATTGTAGAAGATGTTCGTGTCGATTTTTGATGTGTTCTTGAAATACAAGTCCGCTGCTTTGTACACATAATTCCTTTTTTTAATGATATTGGGTTTATTTTTCAAGTATTGGTTTTTGTAAGGATTCTTGTTTGTGGGTGGTTGGAGGATTTCATCATGAGCTGACATCAGTTAGAGAACCATTGGAAAACCTGCAGGGAGTACTGGACAGATGTCCCTGTTGTCCTAGTTCGGGACTCTTCATCTGGACAGCTGGCTGTCCAGTACTCCCTGCAGGTTTTCCAATGGTTCTCTAACCGATGTCACCTCATGATTAAATCTTCCAACCAATCAAATTAGGTTAATATTCACAGATATAATGGACAGAGGAATGTTTTGGGGCTGTTGTTACGTTTAAAAAAAAAGTAGGATCGTATTCAGTATACTAATTACGTTTTTTGTGTGTGTCTGTGTTTGTGTGAGCACTAACTTTATAGATTTCGTGCATTTGCATGTAGTCATTTTCCTTTTTCCGAATATTGTACTTTATCACTTCAAGCCTAATTGTCCAGAATTCATTCCATATAATTATTATTATTATTCGTTTTAATAACTCAATAATACCTGTAATCAAAAAGACTGATCTAAGATCGATGATTGAAGTTCGTCGGTGCCACAGTGGTTAGGACTCTCACCGACCATGCACATGGTCCGGGGTTCGATCCCCTGCCGACGCACACCCGATATCTATGGTCGGCCTGCAAAATTAGGGCTACCGATATCCATGCTGAAAATTCCATACTTGTACTGGAAATACGGTGTGGCATCAAGCTGTAATCAAAATAAATTTTAAAAAATAAAAATCGTGTATTTACCTAGTGAAATTACTTTTTGAATTTCCCTTTTATTGATTCTACTGGACAAGAAGGCTCTTGGTCTTTGCCTAGTACGAAGGCTTCGATCATGATGCTTCCAGGTGTTAACAAGATTATATTGTCTGCTAGTGGTTGATAATGGCTATCAGTGGAATCCTTGGATGCACATTTCTCGTTCTAAGTGTAGGATTCGTCAGTTAGATATATCTGCACCAAAGCTACTGACTGAGTCACAAGTCTAAGTGGACAACAGTCTTCGATGTTTGAAATAAAAGATGCTAGGTTTTGAGCATTAGACGAGGGGGGTGGGTGCAAACCATTGCTCAGTGAGATCCAAGAGCAGTTAGTCATCTGACGAGTTACATCCAAATAAAAGGTGAAGCACGCGCGTCCGCCGTTAATCCAATAAGATAACATGACTTCTTGTTTTATTCTTTCTTATAAGGTGACGTTTAACATTCCCTTTATTCCTTTTATTTTGTTGTTTTACAGTGATTTACATATTCTCGACAATGGAACATTGACTGTAGAATCTGCTCGTGTTGCTCACAGTGGACATTATAAGTGTTCAGCTGATTCAGATAGTATAACATACGATTTACTTGTTCAAGGTAGTTAATTATATATATATATATATATTTCAAATGAATTTATTTTCTATAAATTTTACTGAAATATTGTACATTCAAGAACTAGTTGTAACGACAGGAGACAAGGACCAGGCAACAGATTCTTTATTGAGAAAACCAAGAGATATTTATAGATTTTTATGTACATTATCGTTAGCGGAGAAGCAGCATCTTCTGATTGGTTGTTTTCTCACTAGAAATTATTCTGTGACCTCGATTCCGGACGTAACATTGACGAAAATTGTTGTTTACAATTTCGGCTTGTTCGCAGCCAGCTCTCACCACATAGTCACTGATCTTTGGATTCCGACTCAATGGTGCAAGAATACTAACGTGTGCAGGTTGTAGCCTGGAGATTTTGAGTGCAGTCCTCCCCGTTGGGGTCGTGGGTATGCACTGATAAAGTGACCCCAACTAGGATGAAGCAGCAATCTATGGTTCCCGGTTGTCTTACTGATGTTCGTTGGTGAAGAAATCTTGTCAAAAAGTTCGACAGTCATTAGATTAAGTTGTTTCAGTTAATCACCTTTTTTGGCACCGATAGGAATATGTTCAATAAACGTTCTAGTCATACATCGAAAGTGTGTAAAGATTGTATCAGTGAGTTCGTATTCAAGCCACCTTTAACACTCTATGAACATTAGTAAGTCTGGGATCTATGCTTTTAAAACACGTCGTCTTGTTTCATTTGAGAGTGTACTATCGGTGTCACTGCTATCTCTATAGTATTGCCTACATCCAACAGTGTATACTGCGTATCATTCTCAGATTCACTAGTTTGTTTGGAAAAAACTTCAGATAAACTTCCTACAAGTTATCTCTCTCTTTAGACACTGGACCATCATGTTGTACAAAGTTTGGGTTCATTTAGAAAATATTCAAACGCGATAGTAGCGTTACAGTTTATCCTTCGATTCCAACATTTCTGTTTGTGATTTGTGATTACAGCTTGATTCCACACCGTATTTTTTGGTACAGGTATGGAATTTTCAGCATGTGATATCGGTAGCCCAAATGCTGCAAGCCGACCATTGATATCAGGTGTGCGTCGGCAGGGGATCGAACCCCTAACCATGTGCATGGTCGGCGAGAGTCCTAACCACTGTGCCACCGACTTCATTGGTAAATTAAACTCATTCATTATACAACCATCCTAGTAGTTGATATCGGACGTCTGGGAACAGTCTAAGGCCAAGACTTGGAATTAAATTGCGTGCCTGTCGAAATTTGTCATTGAGGCGCTCAACATGCGTTAGATAGGAAGAAATGCTCAAACACTGTTGATTGGTTGATTGAAAATTGACCGCTTAGACGAAACTGATCTCAGCTAGCTCTAATGGTATTAGTCAATAACAAAATAACATTCTGTCACTATAATTTTACATGAATTCATAGTTTTATTCTGAATAAATGTTGTCTTCATAGTTGCTCGATAGATAGTGGTTAGCGGCAGAATCCATGGTGTGTTTCGTCCTATTTTAGACTCGTCAGTTGGATGTATCGCCTGCACATCATCATTGAGTTATGGTGTTCTGACTAGGACTCGAATTCATCACCAGTCACTTCAAACCAACCACTAGGCTACTGAGATACCAGAGAGCCACCTGTTGTGCAACTAGTGTAGTTTAACATTATTTCTTGCTTATTCTTATTGTTTCCCTTTTCATCTTTCTTCACCGAAACGATCAACCTTATTTAAGCTCAATCTGCCTCCTTGAACGGAGGGAGGATTTATTGTTTCGCCGGTGACTAGCAGATGGAGTTTAATTTGTCAAAATGAAGCTGGTCAATCTGTTCCATGCGATATCAGCTAGAAATCTCACAAATATGAATGTTGCAGCGAAGAAAATTTTCTTTTCGACGAAGTCATCAACTAGACAGCTGTACATTCGTGTATTTATATCAAATGGATGGGAAAGTTCCAGAATAATTTCCGGTTAAGGGTCAAACTAATAAAGATTACAATTAAGAATTAGTATGCTATAATAAACAGGGGTACGGGTAAAACTCAAACAAAGTAGCATTATAATAACTAAGAAGATTGACATTGTGCAATCGAGGGGTTAGAAATGTAGAAATAACTAAAATAGACAGAATGTTTGGATCTGGAACTTTCCCATCCATTTGATATAAATACACGAATGTACAACCTAGTTGATGCTGACTTCGTCGAAAAGAAAATTTTCTTCGCTGCAACTGTCTTTTTATTATTCCCTAGGATCAAATGTGTATATTCCGTGAAATATGAATGTATAATGTCACCCTGTTTGCTTTGTATGTCTGTCTCAGTAGACCTGATTGAGTCTTAGTCAGGATAAATAATGGCAGATATATTTCCTTTATTTATCCTAACTATTACTATTATTCATCGGGGAGAGGGCACCCAACTGGTTCCTCTTCAATATTGATGCTTTACATACACTTCTTGTCTTGTGAAAGGCTGTCCAGTTTTCCTGTATTTATTTTATTCCTTCACGTTCCCAGTGGAACATAGGGCTTCAAGCTAGAGAGGCTTAAAGTTTCTGTGGCGGTGCTTATTTTTACAGGATGGGATTGCTAGCCTCATGCCCAACCTTTCCTCTTTACCAGCTTTATTTCTGGCTTAGCGAGGTAAAGGAGTGCGTTAGTGGCCGGGGATCGAACCCCGGACCATGTGCATGGTCGACGAGCGGCCTAACCGCTGTGCCACCGACGCACTTGCTTTCCTGAATACGGATATATAATTATGCAGTAATTGAATTGTATCCTTATGTGTTATCCTAACTATTGGTGACACTGATTATTGTATTTTACTCACCTATTTATATTGAATTCATCACTTGTTTTTTCTGACTTTCACTTTCTTTTTCTCTTTCACTTTTTTCTTGTTTTTCCTCTAGAAATTCTTGAAGGTAAGTATTGTTAAAATTGCCTACTTTTAAATGTATGTGCTTACAATGGGAAGTGGGATGTTTTACCTATATTCTTCTATAATTGCTGTGGTTGATGCTTGTATAAGTAAGATGTAAAGTAATATACAAAGTAACTCGAGAAAATAATAAGGGTTATTAAGTATAATGAAGAACATGCTGCATGCCAAGTAATCCACAACGGGAAACTCACGGAATCTTTTGAAGAGGTGAAGATGGGAGTAAGACAAGCTGGCTGGCTGCCTACTGTCTCCAATGATTAATTTCCTGATTGTGGGCGAGAGACTGGATAATGCGACAGACAGACAGCGGGTAGCGAGGAGGATCTGGACTTCGCCGATGAGATACATGTCTGATTTCTCACAAACTGGAAGATATGCAAGGGAAAAGCAACAAGTTGGTAGAAGAAGCATCCGGAGAAGATAAGGCTTCAGGTGAACATAGAGAAAACAGAGGTGATGATGAGGATTCCTGCCCAACAGCAACAACAACAGACAACAATCAGCATAAATGGGAGAAATCTGAAAGAAGCAACCTCCTTTCCCTATCTACCTGGGAAGCGTCGTTTCAACTACAGGTGGACGGTACTGATGAGGATAACAAAGCGCGAGGATAGGGAAAGCAAGACTAGCTTTTATCAATCTCAAATCTATTTGGAGATCAAAAGCACACTCAGCATGAAAAATAATATCCGGATTTTCAACTCCAATGTGAAGTCAGTGCTACTATACGGATCACAGACTTGGTGCGGTATCGCGTCATGAAGGCCACCTCGAACAAACTACAGACCTTCATCAACAGCTGTCTTCGCTCAATACTTTTCAAGATCATATGGCTGACCGGAAAACAGCAACAGTGATCTCTGGGAATGAACCAACTGTGCAAGAAATCTGCAGGGAGAAATGGAGGTGGATTGGTCATACTCTGAGAAAACAAACCATCAAGTGACACCACACTCCAGGCCATCGCTCGAGTGGAACCTGGCTGAATGGGAAGCGGCGAGTTGGTCGTCAGTGCGAGGGTGACATGGAGGAGGAGGTGATGTGAAGAGGAGATGAAAGCATGTGAGCAGACGTGGAGCCAGGTGAAAACGTTTGCAGAGAACCGAACACACTGGAGACGTGTGGGTGAAGTCCTATGTTCCTCTAGGAACTAAAGGAAACAATAATAATAATATTAATAATAAAGAACAAGTTATCCCTAAATCATTGTTTGATATTATTTAGATGAAATTATTATTCCTTTGCGCGTTCCGACGGCTTCAACAGCTCATCTCCACTTTGTCCTGTTCTCTGCTGTCCTCTTCAACCGACTTCACGGTTGTCCATAGGTTCTCATCTCTATATCACCCTCAGATCCAATGACCAGGTCGTCGTTTCCCATTTGAACTCCACTCGAATAATGGCCTGCCCCATGATATCACCCGACGGTGTCCTGAGTGTATGTCTGCTCGATCTCCATTTTCTCTTGCTCGTTTGTTGAGCAATAGGTTGTTGATTGGTTCGTCCCCAGAGTTCCCTGTTGCTAATTCTTCCTGGTTGGTCATCTGGTCTTCGATATGGAGTCAGCGAAGTGGGCATCTGTTCATGGAATTCTTCTCTTGGCTGTTGGAAATGCTTTTCGTGACGTGAACGCCCAGTTTTTGACCCATGTAGAAGCACTGACTGACTTCACATTGGTTTTGGCAATCCGAATTTTGTTCTTTATGCACACTTCCAAACTGATTTTAGACTGACGAAGGTCTGCCGTACCTTTCCAGTCGTGTTTTTGTACTAGACAGTTGCTTAGATGAAATTTATATCAATGATGATTATTGGTTAATTGGTGGATGGTGACTAGCAATGGAATCCAGGATGCGCATTTCGTCCTATTTGGGACTCGTCAACTGGATGTACGTGCATTCCGCAGTATGATGTTCCCATCGATAATAAATGACAAACGGTTCCATATGTATTCAATAATGATGAATATAGATTATATACCTACATCTAAGGGAGTGTAAGCGTAACTAAGACGTAAATCTATCTAGGGTGTATATCATCATCCTGTCACATTGGCTAATCGAATTATTAGAAAGATTATGTTGTCAATTAGAGCAGTAAGAAAATTGTGCTAAAAGATGTTAACTACTCATAAGTAGTATAATTAATCAACAACGATTAAATTGGGAAAAGTATTTTCTACTTCATGAATTCGTCAAATCATATCCTGAGGATAAATGGGGACTTATGTTTTAAAATTATTCACGGAAACTCTTAAGAATTTCAATGTGGATGTCATAAAAAATAAATACTTTGCTCTCAATGTTCACCCACAAACCTACCAGGGGTCGAACTTGGGACCTTCAGGTTACGAGAGCAAGCTCTCGGACCGTTCAGCCACTCGGGCTATAATTTAATGACCCATGAATTCTAACTTTGTCAATCTGTCACATAGCGCTATCAACAAACAACGCCATCGATATAAACATTCACTTTGCCTTGACACGATGGACTCCGCGACTTCCTACTTCAGCTTCAAAGAATCCATCCAGTATCCATGATTGAGCTGGTGATTAATAATCAGACTGTAGGATTTGTGAAG